ACTCCAAAATGTAATTATTGTCGTTCCTCGAAAGATGTTCTCTTGATCATCCCCATCTTCAGGGGGCGGAGGAGGGAATCAAAGATTTGAACAAGTACACAATGATCGGGCCTATCTTGATGAGCATAAGCAAAGGCTAGTCTATTTGCATTATGTGGTTTAAAGGTACGCCTAGGATCATTTGCTCTTTGAGCACTTTTTGTTTTGTTTGAAGCAACAGAATTGCTAAAAATCTTAAGCTGGGTGCAAAACAACTAACCTTTTCAAGTTTAAGCTCAGTGGCGATACTCATTGCCTGCGCCCCCCCCCCCTTTTCAAAAGTACATGTACCTTCAATGATTGTTACATGTATCTTCTATTCATAAATACCTAAGACAGTTTACCCATTTCTATTGGTCAAGAGCCCGTCACGTGACGGGTTTTAAATGGTTGATAAAGACCGTTGCTGGCTGGTCTTAAACACTTTTCCATTGTCACATGAAATTTGGACTCCTACAAAATCCAATGCCAGTACCGCTTTATTGGTTGAACGTTCACACTCCTCATGTAGGCATGCGTTCTGCGCCACATCAGGCAGGACGTGAACGCAAATATCCTGTTTACGTCTTCTCGTGAGAGGGCCGTACCAAAGCATAGCTAGAGGGGCGTTTCGAAAAACACGAAGTAAAATTGTTGAAGAAAATCGTTAAAAATTTATATTTTTTTGACTTGTTTTGACTTTTGGACCGAATAGATTTGAATTTTTGACCGAAAAGGTATTTTTGAGTGGGAATAGATATGTGCATGGCCGGTATTAGTCTGGATGCTGATAATGACCCGAGCCGAAATCAGCATCCAGACTCCAACCGGTATTAAGCATAGTGTTGAATACCGGCCCAGCACATAATTTATTCCCTTATTCGAATCTGGCGGACTAATTTCCCAGGGCAGCCCTACCGGTATCTTTTCTTTGAGCAAAATTTTTCTCGTAAAATCTGAAGGTACCGGTACATTTATGGGTAATTACCATTTTTCTTTACATAATGTGCCGTTAATTGAAACATGCAATGCTGTGCTGGTAAAATTATCACATTAGGATGGCCTGCATTGCCTTGATCACGTCATTCATTGCTTGTATACAAACTACATAGATTCATCATTCATTGCAAAACCAAGGCAGTGTCCCCTGTTGGTGTTCTTGTCTATTCAGTATTCAGCGGTTTCACTCATGATAGTGCACCACACCCAAAACAACATATGCGGTACATGCAAATACGCATCTGTGTACAGACGTTCATGTATCGGTAGTGCAGTTTTTATGTGACAGGCACTCGACCGATTGCCCTTTCCTACCAGACTAAACTATCGTGATCACAGTATAATTCACACAGCATGTGCAAAGAAAAAAAACGTGGAGGTGGCAAAATATAAAACTCACACACCGCACCCTGGGTGCCGCAAAGCAGTGGGAAAATCGTCATCACAGCCGCTGGATGCGGCCAGATGGAGGAATAGGATATTGCGGCAAATTTCTGGTAATAGACGTTGGAATGCTAAGGCGTTTGAAAACAAATACCGCGCAGGCTATTTCCGGGAGAAGAGATTGTACAACCAGTCTACCCCATGTTCAATGATTAAGGCTACTACCAGTAGTCAAAAACAGCCAGTACCTCCGAATTACCCCTAGCTTTGTGCAAATTTTCCGCCGTGATCCCTCTTGTAGATTCACTCCTGTCCTGATCAAGGGCTGATCCAGGGGGGGCCAACTGGGGCCATGCCCCACCCCCCCCCCCCCAAAAAAAACACGCACCCATTTTTGTTTTTTAAGTGACAATGCAATAAAGGCAGGCACTGCGTACACCACCATCTTTTCCTCAAAAAAAAATTAGTTAAAGTGGTCAGAAATTGCCTCAGATCGCACCACAGAGCATCTAGAATCCAAACTTTTTGGGGACCAAAATTTGTTGGGCCCCCAAAAAATAGTGTTCTGGATCCGCCCTTGGGCCTGATAGTTTTCAACAAACTTACATGTACGTGTAGTTTTTTATACAGAAAACATGACACCCTGTTTAAAGGGCCCATGCAACGTACAACTTTTAATGCAGTCCTTGAAAATGCCCTTCTGTATCCCATTTAACCTTATTTAAAATTTTCGTTTTGCCATTTTCAAGGGTATTTTGGTGCCTTTTTGGTTTTTATGCTATTGCAAATTTCTATCTATGAGCAAAAGTGGGCTGTCATTTCAGGCAGAAACCTCAATTTACAGCTATTTCAGCACAAAAAGTTGCCACAATTTTCTGTCCTATCTTTTCTTTTCTTTGGTGATTCTTTGTTGTGTCAGTACATGGCAGTATTAAAGCCAGTGAGCAAACTTTTCTCACAGATGTTTTCAATGGACACATTCTTGAGTTCACAATTTGTACAGAAAACCCCTAAACTGAACAGTGTCTTCCTGAAAATTCACAGCTACAGCGCCCCCAGTTAAGTTGTCCCGAAAAGCATGGACAATTTTAAATGTTTAAAGAAGTGCACTTTTCAATCAAATTAACTCAAAAAAGGATGTCAAATAGTTTTCATACATTTAAGAGGAGTAGAAAATTGCACAAAATATGTTCCTAAGAAAAATTAATTTCACGGACCCTTTAATCTTGACGATATCCATGGTTTAGCATCGAGGGATCGACTTAATGGAGTATGCCAACATAAAAACGAATCCCTGGCGCCATACAAACGATCATTCGAAAACAGTTCATGCCAAATTGCCCATGCTAAATTTCACACATGGATGATTGAATATGTTGGGGGATAGTCGAAGACCGGCATAATAACATACATTCATTAGGGACATTCTGAAGTCTGGTGATTTTCTCATGAAATCTCCCTCTGAACCGTTCCCTTGCCGCGACGATGCAGGCGTATTCCGTTCACACACTGGAGAGACACATTGGCCAAGGTATCATCAAATTATCCTGCTTATACATGTAGTTCATGTCTACATGGTTAATGCAGAAACCATATGCGCTCATGTGTTTGAGGAAGCGGTGTGCATTATTAAGTTTTGAAGTAAGCGCGTCGTGACTTCATTAAAGATGCCACATCCATTATGTTTAACCTCATGCACAGGACTCTTTGGCTAGCAAGCAGATTTCCCAGTTATGAACTTCTTCTGTTTTTGCAAAAGTGCAAAAGAAAGCCTGCTATAGAGTTTAATTGCTCCTTAACGCTGTCATGCACTTTCCTTCTAAAAGTTTTACTATTTGCAAAATTGACATTTTCTGCAACTCGGATTATTATCTGCAATTCAGATTGTCTGCAAGAATGCAGGTACACATTTACTGCAGCATTAAAAGTTTCTTTTTAATTCACCCAACGGTATGATCTCCGTGAATTATGCGAACCAACATACATGTAGTTTCTTCCAAAAATGTTTTTTTTGTTACTAGAGATAGGTGTCAAGTTGACAAAAGCCTTTCTGATTTATAAAGTTCAGGTACATTTCTTTAAAACAAAAAAAGATACCAATGATTCAATCAATCAATCAATCAAATCTTACATTTTTCCCAGCACATACATGTAAATGTACAAATTATTTAACCTTTGAATTATTGTGTGTGGATGGATGGTGGTCGCCAAAAAGCATGAGCTTGTGGAGTGGAGACCCCACTGTAGTAAAAAAAAAAGGAACAATTACAAGTACAACGACAGAATTTAAATTTAACACAACAAGAAATTGGTAGTACAACAAATTATATAGAGCTTGTACAACAAATTAAAATTATAATTATTTGGTCTTACAAAAGGAAATTATTCTGAATGAATGTACAAAACAGTTTTTATATATTTGAAGATTTAGAATTCCAAAGAAATTGAGTATTGATAAACAAAACCAAAAACAAATTCAAACCCACACAAAACCCCAAAATGTGCATCATATGCATTCTGCAAATGATTCCTTGATGTGTGGTAATTAAAGAGTTAAACCTTATAATTAAAAATGCTGCTTGCTGCGAACGTGTACCGGTACACCCCATCATGCCATGTTCTCCTTTCAGTATAGAATCAGAATTAGATAATGCTGTGATCCAAAACTAACCAGGTGGTTTGCTTCAAGAAGTAATTGGCAATCGATAGTAGACCTGCACTTCTTTCAACCGAATCAGTAATTAGCAACAGCTACGTTTCCACCGAGGCATTAACAACTGACCTTCCCCCTTGGGTGAATTATTTAACACTTTTCATAAGTAACTTTGTGTTTCAACCCTCAGATTTTGACTAACTGTTAACAACGTCTACTGTAATTTTTCAAAACTAACGTTCCCATTTGTTGCTGAGACTTTTCCCAATGCAGCGAGAAATATTCCAACATTGTATAAAATTAATTTCCAGCAACCTTCGCCTCATTTGTTAAATGTATATGCAAACATGTTGGGTAAAACAATGATGGCCCTCTTATATTTAGGCCTTTTTACACTAGACAAAACTCTGGGTTGACGCGGGGTTGAAGCAGGGTTGAAACCATGCAGTTTTTCACACTTGAAAATGTTCAACCCTGCGCCAATCCCGCGTCAACCCTGGGATTGATTTCGCCCCAGGTTGAACTCAACCCTGCTCCAGACCAGGGTTGAGATTTCTTCATCCCGGGTTGAAACTCGTGCAAAGATTCAAAACAGTAGTAACCAAATGAAATAAGCTCGGTTTGCACTAAGAATAAAATGACACAGGGGTCAACGCAGGGTTAAAAAATAAAAAATCGACCCAGGGCTCCACTGAGTTCACCCAGGGTTGAGTTCAACCCAGGTTGAGAGGCTATAGTATGAAAAGGGATCACACAAGATAATGATTGCTACCATACAAGTTACCATACAAGTTAGTGAGCAGTATGCTGCAGGTTCAACTCCCACCGGAGCAAGCTTGTGAAGTTTAATTCTCACAGCTCTTGTGAAAAACAGTTCATAATTAATTCCCTTTGCCCCTTGGAGTTATTGACTTTTTCTCTTTCTGGGACTTACTTTTGTGCACAGGAATTTCATGCAGGTTTCAGCAAAGCTTTTGACCTGATGGCCCTGAAGAAGGAGGAGATCAAACAGCCAAGGTGAGATACTGAAGGATTCTGCTTCTGTAAACTAATTAGTGAATATATATGTAATTGCTTTAAATAGCACTTTTACAGTAGATCTGTGCATTCAAGTGTTATCTCCTGATCGACTGGCAATCGTCTTGAAGCTACAAGTTGTACGGTACAGTGGTGTTATGTTTTGTGGAGTATGATTTGAAATCAATCCTGCACATGTCGGTGTGTCATGAACACCAACATATGGTTTATTGCCTACCGGTACATGTAGTGTTTATTTTTTTAAACATACTGGTGTTGATCAAAAGAACCAAGATCAACAGAACTACAGTCAAACTGTCAAAACCTCCTCGACAAACCTCACAGTATACAAAGCATTTGCTGTTCTACATTACATACCAGTTACAAGCACTCCTGTCCAAATTTTTCTAACAGTCAATAATTATTGTATGGTAATGATGCCATTCGTTTACACTTGAATACTGCGCGATGTGGCGCAGAATACAGTGTTTTACCAGCGGTTTAAAACCGCCCACGTGATGGGCACTCGATCAATAGGAATTGGTAAACTATCTCAAGTGTAAATGAATGTGGCATCATGGCAATCGTAGTGTATTACCATGCAATAATTATTGACTGTTGGACAATTTTGACAGGAGTGCACTGGATGCGGGTAACTACCCTCGCCTTCGGCTCAGGCCAGTTTTAAACGTACTTGTTTAAAACTGGCCAAGCACATGTTCATTGCCTGTGGTGTGTGCAAAAACTGAAATAAAACTTTGAAATTTCCTGGACCCCTGTCACATTTGTGTAATATTACGTGGTTCAAGTTGCAGTTTCATTTGTCAATGATTTTTGTTCCCCCATGATCATTTAACATTCAAAACTGACCTCTCTAAGAAAAGCAGCAAAATCTTTTTAGGCCCAGTTACAAATCTGCATACAACTTAATGCAACTTAGTACCCTGGCTCCGATTCCCAAAAATATTACAAGTGTCCATTTTTTATGATCATTTTTAATCAAATAACCCTCCTCCCTCGCCATTTTGTTCGGCTTGCCCGTGATCTCAACTGATTTTGTTTGTAGTGCCCACAATCATTTGGACCAGTTGTCTCGAGGAGGCCAATCTAGTTGTCAATACGGGCTTGTCGTCACACACTATATAATACCCTGTTCTCAAGCCACTAGAAACATAATACTCCCAGCTAATCAAACACTAAAAGAGCAAAAGGATATGAAGATACTAGACCGATTGGAGGGGGAGGGGGGGGGGGAGAGGAAGATGAAATGAAAGTAATGTTCAACAAGACTGCAAATCTTCTAGAAATGTCAAAGTTCGTGATGGATATTTATGACGGCGTGATGGTGAGGTGTTGAAATTGGCTGGGAGCCAGCTGTGCTTGATGATTCCCCCTCGGCATTCTTGAACCCGCGGCCTGAATATAAAGTAGCCCAGTCAATATTTGAAATGGACAGTAAAAAAGTCAGCCATCCATTCATAAAATATACACGTATGTTTTGTTTTTCATTGTGTATACGTGTACATATAAATAATTAATGAATGTAAAATTGATATTCACTGGCCTCTCTTCTAAAAAGAAATTAGTGCACATACCGGTATAGATGTTGCAACACATGGTGTACATGTATGTTAAAGGTACAGTCCATCATTTGTAGTGTGTGCATTTTGTTCGTTAGAAGCAACAAACGTGCTCAAAATCTAAAGAAGGGTGCTGAACAACTAACCTGATGAAGTTTCAGCTCAGCTTCAGCTGCATATTTCGAGAAAAACAGCATTCTAGGATCTCGATTTCAAATCAAAAGTTGCTGAATCATGTTTTGAATTGGGCCTGAATTCAGCGTCCCAGACACGTTCCCACTGAGGCTGAGCGGATTGCAGCTACGCGATGTCACACACCGATCCGACGAATTATAGCAACTGCGCGCGTGCGTCGTGCAAACACTTGCGCACGCTTCCCCGAATAAAAAAACGAACTTCTAACGGAAATTTCCAACGGTGCGTCTTTAGAGGCACCGTTGGAAAGGCCTTTTTTCATTGATTTCTTTAAAATGACAGCTTGCCAGAAAGAATAATTTCACAGGGAGTTTAGTCCCCTTACTATCTTTCAACTAAGTATGTTTTTGGACAATAATTACATCAGTTACTTTTTGGATAGCTGCAAATGATGGACTGTAGCTTTAAACCAAGGGTGTCAATCGCTCCTCAAAAGTGGGGGGGGGGGGGGGGGGCGTACCTTGATCAGAACTAATGAAAGCGCGAAGCCCTTATGGTGTGGGGTTCGGGGTACGCTTAAGGGTCCCGAAAAATGTTGGATTCTAGATGCTTGTGCGATCGGCGGCAATTTGTGACCACTTTAACTAAATTTTTGTGAGCAAAAGATCATCATTTAAACATCATTTTCGAGTCGAATCAGCTACATTTTTATTCTGAGCTACAGAATCAAATGTAGGCTACAATTTTTATTTGGAGATGAAAAAAGTGGGGGGGGGGACATACGATATGGTATCCCTCCCCCCCCCCCCCAATATAATGTTCATTCGAAACAATTACATAAAGTGTAAGTTTATTTCATATGCTCCATGGCCCCCCCCCCCAAAATTAAGGCCAGTAACCCTCGCTGCCACAGCGTTAAACGTGAAAAAAGCGGTTTGAACATTGGAAGAAAAGAACTAGCTCTTGCAAAGACATACCGAGACATAAATTAATATGGACCGGGGGAACAGTTCTCATCGGCAGGTAGATTTTCATTGATTATGAAAACACGATCCAAAACTCAATCAAGGAAAGCCTGTGGAAGTAGTTGTTGCACAGAAATTTTCTCGATGGAATACAGATCGACATGATCCGGGTATTTTTACATGTAGGTTTGGTTAAAATTGATTTGTATACATGTACATGTGTAAGAATAATCAATTGCAGTATTTAGTTTCAGTGTAAATGGATTTTTGGAGATATGTTTTTAAATTTTGGATGAATTCTCTGAGATTTTTTTTTTGGGGGGGTAGGTTGGGGGGGGGGGGTTACGTGCACAACTTAATGCGTGTCACCTGAAATCCATCAGCAGGGTTTATACAGGCTTACAGAGGCAGCAATTTGATAGGTCATTTTGCCAATGACCTCATATAGTCTCAGCCTGCAATGAGAATCCCAGCCATATCCTTAAACCCGTAAGCCTAGCGGTACATCACTGGCTGGAGCTATTAACGCTAATTGTTCCCGTTTGGCATTCCTGCATATAACACAATAATAGAAGCGTGACTGAGTGATACTGTGCGGCATGACCAGAAGAGCCTGCCAGCATTTACCGGTTTCGTTTCTTTCATTTGTTCTCTGTATTCGATCTCTCCTCATGCCGAATTTGATCCCGGCGAACGCGCAGGTTTTTTCCCCGTCCACGTCTGACAAGACACGAGGAATGGCCGGGACCCATTCCGGTCCGACATGTCGTTGGACAAGCTGGCCAGTGGATCGGTTGTGGCATATTGCCACACGATGGTCCATAACAAAATATGGTAAAGCACTCAGCGCGCATGGCTTGCTCGCAATTACCAGTCAAGTGTGTTAAAGATTCAATGGCAAAGACATTTTTTTTTTTTTATCATTATGAGATGCCATTGCTGCAATGCACATGCTGAAATCTCCCCAGATACCTCGCTCATCTGTGGCTGTATAAGGAGGGCGCATATGATGCGCAAACACAAAGGAATGCATATGAATGACGTTTAATGTGTCAGAGTGAAAAATTACTGACTTTTTTATGGCCAACCCGTGCGAAATCATAGTGATTCGTTAGATGATCAATTTGTGTTCGATTTGAGGACAACAGGCTTGGATCGATATACAGTGTTTTCGTACTGTAGTTTTGTCCTCACTTTTTTTTTCTGGTTGAAAAAAAAAAACCACCAAAAACGAATGGCTGTTACATGACTGCGCTCAACAAGCACTATGAGTTAATGCTAGATTTTATGTTCTTTCTCGCACGTAGATGTTCGTGGGCGTAATCAGTATTATCACATCCATCACTGAAGCCAGATAATTGATGGGGCCATGCTCGGCCTCAAATGCACGGGTGACTCGATTTGATCATCAAGGGGCTTTGGTATAATGTGCATGTATGTTCATGTTTGCATGGCCATTCAATTTTGAAATCTCATCAATCGCATTTTGCTGCCCAGGAAACATACAGCGTCTCTCTGCCATGCGACAAACTGCAACAGGCCGCTTTTTTTTTTTCTAGACAGGCTGTATGGCTGCTGTGGGATCGATCACGGTACCGTTTATATCAATTTTTTTTTATCTCAAGGAATTTGACAGCTTGGATCTAGCATTAAACTGTAACATGTACATGTATCAATTCTTGACATGAATGTTTAGCTTCTGAAAAAAAAATGCTGTACTGATGATGATTGTGGAAAGAGAAGGTTGATAAATTTATGCGCACATTTGGCTGGAAAAGCACAACATGTTCTTGCCAGATCTGCCTGAATTTGGCTATGGGGGGAGGGTGAATACATAAACGTGTTAAGGCCGGTTCATAGTCGGCGCGAAACAACGTGAATGCGTATTTGTGACGTCGGGGCAAATTTTCACCAAATTTGTCTGCTTTACAAAGCTCCTTGAAATTCTCCACCGGAACCTGAAATCAGAGGACTTTTACGTGTACGTACATGTAGAGGTACAGTGTACGTGTAAGTTTCATGAGTTGTTTGGAATTTCCAACCATTAGATTATTTTATGCATTTGCATCAAGATATTGGAGGGAAGGGGGGGGGGGAACTCACAACACTTGATGAATAACGTCACGGTCGTTCTACCAACAGCTTAATCGCAGAGGTATTTGCAGTAGCAAGCTTCTTTTTAGACCAGCTGAGAATTTCCCGACACTGCATTGCCTAAATCCCAACCTCCTTAACACACCATCAATCTTTGGCTCCTGGGAAGAAAAAGATTTTAAAAATGCTATCACTGGTCGCAATAGGAATTCAGTAAATGAAACAAAAATGAGTTATGATAGCTGTTCCTATCAAGTCAAAAATGGAAAAGAAAATTCAATATTGAATCAAACAATGAAAAGAAAATACTAAGAGAGAAAAAATTCTGTTTAAAATTGTGACTGTCTACCGTAGGATTAAATGCCAAATTCTAAAAAAATGTCTAGACTCTACTGGTACATCCTCCAACAACACATAATTAAATTTAATTCAATTACTACATACATTTAACTCAAACCTGTTTGAATCCACACACTACCACATATGCTTCTGCTTCATCCTCAAGGAGTTCTGAAGAGGATAACCACCAAGTAGTACCAAGTACCAAGTACATATACCTTGTATTTCAGCGGTTTGTGCTATCATCATACATGTACCAGTACCGGTTTATCTACTTCAATAAAAAAGGAGACAAGTTTTAGTTTCTGTAGACAAGAACATAGAAATTCTTTTAGTCCATGCATTGAAGGAAAGAATGAAAATCTACACTTTTTTATTTGCCTTTACATGTACAATGTATACTCTCAGATTTCAATCTCCTTTATAGACATTCTACATCACTGGGTGTTTCTCTCTACGTGGCATGCCCCAACCACAATTCTGATGTTAAACATTTTATTGAAATGCTTTCAATCTATAAAAATGTCCTGGTCCCGGTTCCCTCCCCCCCCCCCCTCCTGTAATGAACATTGTAAAAAAAGAAAGGTCTAAGTACTTAAGAAAAAGAAAAATACCCTTTTTATCACTTGAAGGATTCAACAAAATGCACAACTCTTGATGACTACTCATCCCCCGGTATTGTAGGGCATTCGGAAATCCAATACCAGCCCAAAAAGAAGACGAAGAAAAGAGCGCGATTGCGGCTTAGTATCATATTACATGTAGCATTCGCAGAGGGGAAAAAGCATTTATCAGTGGAAGCGTCGAATTCCAATACTGGCTCATTCAGTCACAACAAATAAATCTTTGTAAAGATGGCAATCACTCCAGACAGGAGCATGGACATATTGTAGGGGAGGTTTGCCCACAAAGTCTGTGCACTAAGAAAAATTGATGCAAAGGAAACGGGGGGAATATATTAAGCTTTCACCAAATTTCTCTTCGGATATTCCCATTTTCGTGGGAAAAGCTTGGGAGAAATACGTACTTTTGGTTGGGGGACTTATTTTGGGACAGAACTCAATGGGTTTGGTAATTGGTGATCAAACAATACAGAGTTTGTTTCTTCTCCAAAATCTGTGAAGGGGGCACAAGTTCGGTGACATTGTCCCCCCCCCCCCCCCACACACACACACGCACACCTTCCTATGTTTACACCACTGTCCAACAATCAAGTGTTCAGCAAAAACCATGAATTCTGCCGCGTCATTCCCAAGATGCCAATTAATGCAATTTTCACACCTCTTGCTCTAGCCTTTCTGCATGTCATAATGGCTATTAAATAGAAAAGGGACGTCATTTGTAACCTCCAGAAAAAAACGGGGGAAAAAATGAGTTGATTGTCTGCCATAATCATGTTCACGTGATAAACGTGATAGACGTGCTTGCGTCAAAAGAGTTGATGGAAAAGTCAGGGACAATTTTACCCGAAGAAAAGTCAACCATTTGTCCTGAAAAATCAGATTATATAATTTGAGACCTGCATGCATCGCTGTATTTGTTTAAATCTAATATTCAGGTCAATGTGTAACAAACAAGGTCTTGGGGTGGGGGTAAAATGTGGAAAGTCTTTGTGGAGTGTTGAAAATAGGATAAGTAAGTTAGTGATTGTGAAGCAAACGGACAAATCCACAAATATAGGGAAAACAGCGTGATCAATCTCATCTTTTAAAGGGAATATACAACATTTGCAAGCATCGAAAAATAAAACTACCAAGTTTTTACGAAATACCTTACTAGGATGTTAGTAAATGACAGTCTAAAGCATCCTGTAAAATTATGGCACCTGATGTGAAGTCATTGTCAAGAAAATTGTATTTTTGTATACATTTCCAACGGTGGTCGGCCAACCACCGTTGGAAAAACCTAACTATTTTTCAACTACTGCTCCAAATTTACCTTTTTTTTAGTCCAAATGTTGTTTGCTATTGGTTACATGTTCATGAACGGGTGCAGGCCAGCTAGACTGGTTCCCTTACCTTACAATTTTCTGGCATCTGTGAATTGATCCATTTTATCTTTAGTGGAGTCGGGGAACCAGACTACTTAAACATTTTTGTTTTTCTTGGTTTTTCCAGCATTTTCGAACACAAAACTTCAAACATGTCAGTGTAACAATATTTGATCTATTATACTAACCCCTCAAATAGTTCATTTCTGAAAATTACAGCAAAAGTCAATGATGTACATTCCCTTTAAAAGCTGTTCTTGTTTTAGATATTAAAAAAAAATACACATGCAGTCCTTGAAAAGACCTTTCGCGTAACCTTTATTAAAAATGATGTTCTCCCCCCAAATAGGAGTATGATTCAACACATTGTTAGAGTTTATTGTTATTTGGGTTTTTTCGGTGCCTGGCAGCAAGATTGAATGGTTTTAATTAAAATCCTATTAGGTAAGCCCGTCAATATTGGATAAAGCCCTTTGAAACGTGCGGACAGGCCCATTGTACTGAGGAACCACGAACCTTTACCACTGAACGAGGAGAATGAATTCGTCATCTCAAACGGCGTTGACAGATTGTAATATACTGCCAGTGTGACCTAACCTTTAACTTACGTGTTTCACAAGAAATCTTTTTTCTTTTTTTTCTTTTTAAATTCAAATTGATTTTTCTCTTGTTTCAGTGATGACATGCTGAAGAAGTCAGTATACAGTGAGATAGCTAAATATGTGGCTCTGACTGGAAAGGTATGTTATTTATTTATTTATGTACGGTATTTATTTTCTCTTTTCTTTTTAAGTGTAAACTCTCACCCTGTACACCTTCTCTTTAAATGTCCAACTCTCTTTATATTTAAAAAAAAATAAATAAATAAATTTCAGGTACACTGAAGTAGCTTTTTAAGTTATTTAAATTGTACAAATTACAAATAAAAAATGAAACAAAAGTGCTAACAGACTGGAATGACCTGGAAGATACTAAAGGGTTCGACATTATATTTCCATCCTTTCTCAAGGGCAAAAAGCATTGAGAAAGATCACGCTAAGATTAAAACCTCAGACCCTCTAAAAAAAAAAAAAAAAAGAATTGACAGATACGAAAGGGTTCGACGTTATATTTCCATCCTTTCTCAAGGGCAGAAGGCATTGAGAAAAATCACGCTGAGATTAAAACCTCAGACCCTCTGAAAAAGAAAAAGAAAAAAAGAATTGACAGATACTAAAGGGTTCGACGTTATATTTCCATCCTTTCTCAAGGGCAAAAAGCATTGAGAAAAATCACGCTGAGATTAAAACCTCAGACCCTCTGAAAAAAAGAAAAGAAAAATAGAATTGACAGATATTTTTGTTGATTTGAAAACGCATATATGCCATGAAAGGTTAGAAAAGTTTATGCTTGTCAACAATGTTGTCAACTTTGCACACTATGCGCGCCTCGTTGCAGACATCACGCTCTTACATAAAAAAAAATCATTTGAAGCCAGTTGAGGGCGCTGTTTCAGAATGGACTTGAAAGTAGGATAAAGTTGCCCACAGGTAGCACATCCCTCCCATTATGCAGAAGTCATTGCACTGTGCAGTGGGCCAATTCATCGGTGTGACAGATCAGCGAAGGTAGAGAGTGTATGCAGCGGCAGCGACAGAGAGATAGAGAGGGAAGATGGATAGATAGAGATACCTATCTACACAATTTGTCTCAGCCAAGCATTATTGCATTAGCCGGGCCTGAAATAAAGCCACGCTAAAGGAGAGAAAAAAAAAGGTACCGCGATGGCTAACTGAAGTAAGATGTTCGGGCAGTGGCGTAGGGCATAAGGGCAAGCACGCAGACATTACCCCTTCCCCCCCCCCCCAACAGATGGATTTGTTTGAAGTCACAGCAGTATTGCTGATCAGTATCGGCAGATCTGAAGAGCGGGGGTAAGAGACAAAGAACATCTTTGAAGAAAAAGAAAGGATTCCGTGAAGGATGTTTGTGAGAGCATTATTTGGAGGGCCGAGGGGAGGGAGTCGAAGGGGGGTGCATGACGTAATTAGATAAGATTAAAGAAAATTGATTGTGTCTTTTTTAAATGGCAAATACTGGCCCCTACGTCAAAGGCATTGAAGATGGGTTTTGAAGTGGAAGGGGCCAGTAACCTCTGTATCGGTATATCTCTTGATCAAATAACGTCCTCCTAATATGATAACTGTGATGAAATTATATCTGTGGGTAAACACCCCCCCCCCCCCCCGACAAATCAGGTAAAAAAAAGAGGGGGGGGTTGGTAATTGACATCAGCTCTGATAGAGATGAAAAGGAGATAAAACCTTACTTTACCGGGGGGGGGGGGGGGGAATTAAGGAAAACAATCAAATGGTCAGAAATCGTTTCCCTGGAAAATGGATAATTAAATAAGTAAACAAAAATTTCTCATTAAAGAAAAAAAATGGACAAATCCTATGAGAAAATTTTCTTTTTTTAAATGGATAACAAATTCCATGACATTAATTTGTAACGTGTTAATTGGATTTTTTTTTCTGGGGAGTCCCCAGAAAAAAACTAGATAGATATGTGGGTAAAGGACATCAAATTAAAGAGAAAAATCAACCAAACAAGAAGAAAACATCTCCTTCAAAACAAAAAAAAATTCAAAATACAAAAATGATATGTATTTGTTGTGCTGAATTAATGAGCCTTTCTATTTCTTATTGAGGGTGTCGATAATTACGGTAACTAGTGATAAGTGATAATAATCTTGATAATAGTCATTGACCTTGTTGAAAGGGCACAGCCGTCCACTGACAATATGTACATTTCCTAAGCCTGGGTTTGACATTTCCTGGGACCGAAAATTAGTGCCGTATTTCCCGAGTGAAATATGAGACGACCACGCTGTGTCACTTTGCTGTGTTCCCGACTCTGAAGCCGCGCCTTTCGCCGATAGTCGAAAAAAAACCCGATTCTTTTGTAGCGTGCACGCAAATTATCCCGGACTCGCCGACGGCCATTAATATAACATTTCTTGAACATGCCTCACGCTCCCCATTATTGAATCACTTTGGCTGCCGGGAAAAGAAATCCGTAGCTCTTTGTGTTTGTCATTTTCAAAAAAAAATGGGGCTGAATGGCTTTTACCGTATATAGAACAGGACAAATTTTGCTGGGAGGGAGTCAGGGGGCATTCTCTTAAGAGCTGGAAAAGCTGCAGTCAGCTCGGCCAAGGCAGCAAAATCATCATGAAATGTGAACACGAGCAGGGATCGATTTTGTTTTCTTTTCGTTTTTCTTCAGGTTAGCAGCAATTTTAAGCCCCCTTTTGATCACATGCCAATGGACACTGATGCTATCTCCAGCTGTTTTAATGTTGGCAGCCCTTGCACAATGGATTCTCATTATTTCCTTACCCTTTTTTACTGACTCTGTTGTTGGTTCTGTCCCCAAACCTGAATTGAATTAATCTGAATGAAAAACAGGTTTAGATTCTTGCGAGATGAGCCCGTTGCGCACCTGTACGCTAATTGTAGAACAGTGTTGTCTGTGAATTTCAAATTAGCTTTGAAACCAAGAGCCTTCAGCGCGTCATCACACAGTTCCATAACACTGAGAACCTTGTAATTTGACATTTGTCTATCAAAATTATTACATTAACCCATTAGCACCTGCATTACATTGTATTACATTGTGTTTATTTACCGGAGAGTCAATAAAACCATAGAGTGCGCAGGCAGTTTCTACATTTCCACATCTTGGATATTCTAGAGAATTAAATTGTGCTTCCAATACGCCAATTCATAATGAATAATTATGCTTCACATTTTAATGTTTCAACCACATGTATGTATTTATATTACTCCTGATATTGTGTATCTCAGACATGTCAGAGGCATTATACATGCAACTGTTTGGATTCTGTTCCAAAAGTGTCCTTTGACCATCTAACAACATGGAGACTCATTTATCATTTCCAAGCCTGTGCTGTATGCACATTGTCACTGACTTCTAAAATCTTTCAAGACGGTGCGTGAGGTTTATCGTTTCGTTATAAATGATCCTAACCGTTACAATTTGTCACTGTCCAGTGTTTGTTTCAGCTAGTGCTTGTTCAATCGCCTTGTTTACCTTCCAATGTTTTTCACTTTCCAGTTCTTACTCCTCGCTATGTACGATTCTAATTTATTTTTCCTGCCCCCCCCCCCCCCAATCCGCTCAGACCATCAACATAGAGAAGTTTGACACCCAGACCAAGTTCAAGCTGATCTATGACGCTGACAAGAACTTCCGGCTGCACACCTTGCTCTGCCAGCCCATCTACAACAGCCAGAACAAGATAGTGGGCGTGGCCGAGATGATCAACAAGACGGGCACCGCCCTCAACCCCACCTTCACTGACCAGGACGAGAACCTGTTTGAGGTGAGACCCAGGAGTCTTGGGCTATACTGCCAGCAGTAAACAAACGGGTGTATGGGAAATGGCTTAACAGCCACTTCCATAGGCGTACCTGTATGTGTAGTTGCAAACCAGAGCCATGTAAATTCGGATACGGCTATACCTTGACCTTTGACCCCATATTACGGCATAGAACCAGGAATTTTTCAAAACTGGGCTATGCTGCCGGCTTTGGCTTCAGGAGACCGTTATTCGGGTAAATTTGGGGGACTCTGACTCTCCGTGTACCAGTATTGAGGTCCATGTTTTGTGTGTCAGGAATATCATTTTGTGTAATTTATGAAGCCAAAAGTAGAGTATGACTTTAACCAGTTCGCGTCGGAGGACGTGATATCATGCACTAGCTCCTTTCATTCACATGCACGGCTGACGGCTTAAAATGTCAAGATTGCCTCGACTTGCCTCCGGGTGACGTCTAAACATGCTAATCCCTCATGCCTTTTGTGCACACACACAAAGTCCGTGAAGTGTGTGGAGGCAGACCGTGTGTTGATCTTGAATTGGCCGTTGTGCACGGCCTATTGTACAATTATGCTCCAGTGCACACCCTGGAGTATTGAAACGTATGACGTTTCGGCAAGACATATTGTACAAATACTGTTGAAATTACTCTTGCGAATCAGTATTTGTGGCGTTTGGCTGTACATGTATATCAGAAGTTGGCTGGAAAATATTGCCTTCTGCGAAAATTGAAATTTTCGGCAAAAATAATCCCGACGCGAAGTGGTTAAGAAATTACTTTAAGAATTTCAAATGACTCAGAGGAGGCAGAAATGACACCCAGGTTTGAAAAACCTCAAATCTTGGTTATAGACATTATTACTGCACGACACTACCTGTTTACAAGTCCAGTACAACACGTGAAAACAGCCAATTTTCTTTTTTCCTTTTTTCTGTTTCACCGGTAAATTTTCTATTTCACCCGCCAGTGAACTCCCTCAGGCAAAAGGTGACAATGGGCACACGCTGTACCTTACGGTTTTGTGCACATTTCAATTGAAATCGGTCGCGCGCACTGCACTCAATTTCACGCAGGGGTGGACTTTAACACCTACCAATTAGGTCAAATGTGACATCTGTGCTTTGCACATGAATGTAGGCCCTGAACCACCTTTTAGAAAAAAATCACTATAGAGATTGGAAAGAAAGGTAATGGTCTCCGTGCCTGGCACAAAAAGAAACTAAGCAGTTTTTATATTCCTTGTTTGGGCATTTCTCGGTGAACACAAAATCCGAAATTTACGTTTTGTCACGGAAACTTTCCGGTTCAATCTGATACCTCGCTGGGAACACTGTGTAAGAAATAACGAGAGCACAAGCGCTGAAGCTCTTGAAAGCCAAAACTAAAAGTTGCACTGAGTAAGATTTGCAATGGGCATTGCAACACACAATTGAATGCGGGGCCTGCGTCATTGCATTCATGCCCATTGAAAATCTCGCTAAGTGCAACTTTGAGTTTGGGGGTTTCAGGATCTTCAGCGCTTTCGCTCTTGTTAATGTTATTTCCTACACAGTGTTCCCAAGTGAGGTATCAAATTGAACCGGAAAGTTTCTGTGACAAAACATATTTCATATTTTTTGTTCACCGAGAAATGTCCAAACAAGGATGATTTTAAAAACTGCTTCTTTCTATTTCAGGTGTAAATTGCTCTTCGTGACTACTTTTGAGAGCCTTAGTGGGAAGGACAGACCGCGTGCGCAGAATGGTTTGTGCACGTTTGGCGCGAATTATGCGCAACTGATGTTACTCTGAATATGCATAAATATGTGGCGCCTTCGCTTGAGCATGCGTTCGGATGCCCCTTCCAGTGGACTCACCCAACTCTCCCTTTGTAACCAATGAGGGGTGTTTTTAAACAGTCCATAATAATGATACAAAAAAAACAAGTCAAAAAATTTCAATAACAAAAATCCCATATCCCTTTGGAGCAGTTGGATATATTTCTCTACAGGAACGTTGATTCATCCACATGTACATGTAATGTGTTGTCATGTGTTGAAGTATTCCTAAAACAATAATTGATATTATACACATGGATATTGTTATCCAAGGAAATACAAGAAATCAGAATATCTAATTTCATGGACAGCCACATGTAGATGCCTCAGATAGAAAATAGTCTACACTAAACATTCATTTCTGGTAAATTTCTTGAGTAATGTGTATCTTATTTCAACCAAACACAAATTAGCAGTGAAACATACCGGTAGTCATTTACACATTTTGAATGTGTTTGTAGTTTTCTCTTTCCAATTTGTTAACCTGCCATACTCGTGGTTTATTAGAAGTCCCATATGATATGAACACTCAGGTCAATTAACTTGATTGCTCTCTCATACCGCATGTAGGCATACCAAAGATGAACAAATTCATATTGACAACCCTTGGTTTTCACTTCAATAACCACCTGATTTTTTCTTTCTCACGAGTAAAAAAAAAAATAATTAATTGATAACTACGTTAATAAGTAACCCCTGTTTGGGCTTGGAAGTTAATAAATTTGACTGGAATCTCTAAGTGCACTATGTCCCAAAGGCACAGGCAGTTAAGACGGAGACGCATTCCTTGCCGCGCTAAGTGGTTACCATGGCACCCTGCCACAGCAATTGGATTTGCGTAATCCGTGATACAGACACCTCAGAATGCCTACGTGTACAGTACATTGTAGATGTAGCGGGGGAGGGGGTGGGGGGGGGGGGGCGGCGATGTCACAGCGCTGCTTAGCACAAAAAATATTGGCTTAACAGAGATAGGTCACCAGCCAAAATGCCATATGATGTGTGTTGCGTTTGGTTGGTTCCCTGCTGAATGCTGCTAAGCACGTAAATTTGTTAAGCATTTTGGGTCCACGGTTTAATGCTCAGGGCTGGGATCAGAAATGCAGTGGGTGAAGGTACAAATGGAAAGGGTCTTTACATTGTAATACTTTTTGATGCGGGAGAAACACATTTTTTAAGAGGATCTGAAGACTTTTTTTGGTGCAGCCAGCATGTACCTGGAGATTTTTCGGGGGATATCCAATATGTCCATGTACATGTAATAAGCCTCAATGTACAGATGTCCGAACATTTGGCACCTCTAAAGATCAACGGTCAGCATTATATAACATTATCTTCCACTCTTTTCCAGCGCTATGCAGTGAGCACTTTTTCGATTTTGTTTACATACCAGTGCATGTGTATACATGTTCATGTGCTTGACCTCATTCACAAATCGATCGATATGAATATTTTTGTTTATTAGAGACTCACACTTTTTTGAGTCGGTATCTCTGTTTATGGGTCAGGGGTTTGAGTACATGAGCAAAGTGAATGCCAGAATTTTCTGTCGGCTAATGATGAACTGGTGTGTTCTGGTTTCAGGCTTTTGCCATATTCTGCGGACTGGGCATCCACAACACGCAGATGTACGAGAGCGCCGTCAAGCTAATGGCCAAACAACAGGTGGCGCTAGAGGTCCTGTCGTATCACGCCACGGCACAGCAGGATGAGGTGGAAAAACTCAAGGTAAGACCAGCATCACCAGTGTAGCCAGAAAGTTGTGCATGTGTACCGTCTTGTCTGCTTGGGACTGAGCAGTCGTTGACTATTGACTCCAGTACAGAAAATGTAGACGTTACTATGCGACCATTTACAAGAGGTCTGTGTACGAAGCACGAACTTGTAATGAGTAATGTGCAAAGTTTGCGCAACTAATCTTTCGTGTGAATGTGAGCATAGACGTCTTCGCATTGGCTTCTGGGCCCCCGCATTGGTGCTGCTACATTTGTAAGCACACAATTTTCTTCTAATGGAACCGTTTCTATCGAATGGAGCCGTTTTGATCTTATGGGAACCATGCCCGGTAAATAAGCCAAGCGAAGACCACACCTCACACGAGTGAGGTACCGTTCACATAATTTGCACATCTACACAAAATCTTCTTGCAACACAGTTTTTTCATACGAAATTTCACATCTATCTTCATCCAAGTAAGTGCTCTAATGGAACTTGGGAAGATCAAAAGGCCCATTTTATTTCATTTCATTCAAGTTAAAGAGAAAAAAAATTACCCCACGGAAAGAAAATTTAGACACTTGAGAGATTAAATTGACAGTTACATGAAAAACAAGATATACGCTCTTCTGTTTTCTTGTGAAGTACCGATACCAGGACTGTTTGCATGCATGAGCTGTTTTTTCTCTGTCTCATCTTATCATGTTTTCATCGCCGTAAACTCGGACACAGTTCGGTTATATTTCCGTCAGTAAATCCTATTTGCCAGCTGTTAGTATGGACATTGTTAAGTTTCGGTTGAAATTTTTTTCAAGAACTATATTAAAAAGACTACGTCAAACTCTTTCCTTTCTCCGAAATGGCACAATTTGGCAGTGGCCCAGATACTCTTTCTGAACCCACGCGCTGCAACCTTGAGTCCTTTCAGAGCTTCCAACCCCTTGATTGGACTGATGTGATTAGGACGTGCGTGACGGGTGTACAATTTCAGTCGTTAGGCTTAATACAGGTATAGAGCTTTTGCAACACTGTCAATGTCAAGGAACGCAAAGAAGAAAGGAGCAGCAAACGTCAGTCGAATTTGCATGCAGCACAGACGCGGGATTGATGATTGCGAATGATTCAGAGACATTTCTTGGGACTGGCAACTTTCAAACGACCCAATTTGCCCAAATTTCAGATTCGTTTTGGACAATTCGTTCTAACATTTTTTTTTATAAATGTAACAAATCTCATTGTTGAGCAATATTTAAATAACAGGAATGCAACTTTTCCTCAGATCCGCTGATTTCCTCATTTTTTACTCTCATGAATGCCATTACAAATTGAAAAACTCTGTACAAAGACTTGTGTGGTTTGGAGTTTCCTCGTTTTTGTGTGTGTAAATTTCCAGTTGCATGCCTGAAATAACAATATTTAGCATGATAAAGAGTTTCTTGACAAAATAAGCAAATTTGTACTTTTCCTTTATACAATTTGTAATGGGACCCCAGTGTGAATAAGCCTGAGGAATTGGCTTTTTGTGATCTCCCAGATAAAAAACTGTCCTATGTTCACTTATAAATCTTTTTATTGTTACATGTATGTGCAGTATACGTTGTGGTTAATTTCATCTGAAGAAAATTGAATTGAATTGAATTTAAAAAAAAAACCACAGACGACTACATTATGTTTATTTGTGCCAAAAAAATCGTTCAGAATTCAATTCCAAACAATCAGTGGAAAATTTTGTTTTAGCAATAGACTCATCTGATGACCAAAATTAGGAGCCATTTTTTGCGGTGGCACAAAGCTTGAGTACAGGTGTTACGCGCATGCATCTCAAAATCATGTGACATATTCGTGATCGCGACACCACCTTAGTAATGGTGATCACCATGTTAGTCGAAAGATAACCCTACTCCAATTTCTTATTTATTGTTTTAATTGACCTTACAGCAAGCTGGCCCAGTGGAAAGCACTGAGAAGCTGAACCTGCAGACGTTTGCCTTCAGTGATTTCACCCTGGTGGAGGATGAGACTCTGCAGGCCTCCATCTGTATGTTTGAGGAGTGCAACCTCATCAACAAATTCCACATCCCTTATGACGTAAGTTTGGTTTGGAACTCAATTGACTTTGTTTTTAAATTCAGTTTGCCTTTCTTAAAGTGATATGCAATTGCAAAGCATCCCTAATTTCCCAAGACAGATCATTACAGTAGGCGAGTAGCACATCCCATGTGACATACATGTACATGTAATGTACATACCCCGAAAGCCATCGTTCCATCTTTAGTCTGTACAAGTGTCCATTGTAGAGACGGTGTGCCCGTGATGTTAAGCCGACAAGCAACCGCCCGGCAACCCACACATTTAAGCACTTTTGCATGTTATTTGGCCCACATTAAACAGTTTCATATTTCAAGAGATAGGCCTATACAGGGTGTCAAAAATGTAGCAGTCAAACAGCATTTTTTTCTGAGGAAACTAAATTGTTAATATTGCTTTTAATTATCATGAGATGGCAGAGTTTTTTTTACCCTTGACAGGATTTTTGTTCTGCGTGATTTGGACCTTTTGTTTAAAAGTTCAAGCAAAGCTTGTAAAGACAGTCAAAATCTGCTCGGGCCACTTTTCTTCACCTTCTCGGTGTACGAATGCCTTTCGTTAGATACCAAGTGGCCCAACTTGGAATTCAAGTCCTTTCATTTAATTAGCTGTATCTCTGGACTGGGGTGTCCAAGTGAGATGTGATAAACACCATCGTGAAGAGTATTTACTACACCTTCAGACTCTATAGATAAGTGTTGCAAAAAGAGAGTGCTAGTATTTTTTTATCTATGGATTGACTGATTTTTTGGAGACATCCTATGCAGTGCAGAAGAGATCCGTAAGCTGAAAGTTGGCACTTCGTGTCACATCGTCTATAGGTTGTCCTATAAATGTACATTTAGTTTCCAGTAGACGAGTAGTACAAGCAGCCATAGGAGGGAATAAACTATAATTAGCATTGTACTCAATGCAGAAGTCATGCCAGCCTTTCGTTCACTGATCGTCCTTCAGTTAAATTGTAGTTTACAATATGCAGGACCGCAGGAGACACTGACAAACCTGGCCAGAAATGCAACTGATGAAAAAGTACCTTATTAAAGACTCAATGATCTTTTGGAGACCATACATTCTCCACTCTTAGCGCAAAATCTTTGGAGATCGTGTCAGAAAAGAGTTGTGTTAAATAATGCAGCTTTTTATTTAAATACCTGTAAGGAATTTAACATTGTGTTTTCCAGAAAACAAATCTGGAAATGTAATATTTTAGAAACATGATGAACAGTTATTTTTTGGCTCTTTTTCAATCTTGTTAATAATAAACACATGTAAGGCATTGAGTGAGATACACTGCATCTTGTCTTTGACAGGAGATAAATTTCTCCGCCTGTCTGTGTTTTTTTTTTTCTCCTGTGCAGAGAAGGAAATTTGATTCATCAGGAGTAAATTGTGGCATACTTCTTCTAACGACACGAACGTGACTCTTACCCCGATTTTTTTGTTTTGTTCGGTTGGCCGTCCCTTGAATACAAATCTTTCAAATGGGCTCTCAATCATGATGAAGGGGCTGTAAAGCGCTAAAGCAGAACGTTATTGTGTTCCTGACGTCTCACCGCGTTGTGCCCTTGTAGCGTGGGCTGGGGTAATGGATGATACCATACCCTGCCCAGGATAACCGTGAGATTGCTAATGCCCTGCACCAATCATGCCCATTTGTCATTCGTTTCCCCCCAGACGTTTTTTTTTTACACATCAAGCACAACAGTTTATTTGCATTTAGAATGGATTTGTTAAGGAGATTTTTTTCGGTTTTTTTTTTGGAGGGGGGGGGATCTTTGCCAATTGCTCTAATGATATTTTGGAAGGATTGCAGTATTGATGAATTTAATTTGTCTATGGGCATTTCCTTGGTGTCGGACGTACGTTTTAGACAATTCAACATTGTGCCTAATTATAGCTATAATCATAAAGTGGATTTTAGTTTTGGCAAAAGGTCTCAGTTACCCGGTACTTACTACAATGATTTAGAAAGGATATTAATTCATCCAACTTTTTAACTGTTGGCTCCAATCGTCATGTTGTCGAACGTACTCAGAGAAATTGATTTTGTGCTTGTGTGTCCATTTTATCATCAAAATATATTTGCAGCCTGATAATATCTCAGTCGGATCTTTTTTGTTAGAGGTACAAATGTACTGTACAGAAGCAACCTAAAAAGGGCCTTTTTATGCCCCCCCCCCCCAAAAAAGGTATTTTGTGTGTGTGTCCAAATACCACTTGTAAATTGAAGACTCGGTCATAAAAACTAATCAAATTTGTTAAAGACCAAATTGTGAACAACATACATGTAAGTTAAAGGTGGAGTACCAGTAGGTCATTTGTCATTTGTTCATTTTTTTCGTTTGAAGCAACAAAAAGTGCTCAAAATCTAAAGACAGGTGTTTAACAACTGACCTGATGAAGCGTTAGCTCTGTGAATACCTGGTGTGTCGAGAAAACACAATATTCTGGATCTCGATTTTCAATTCAAAAGTTGCCGAGTCATGGATAATCCTGGAATTAGCATTCGGGACATGATTTTCGTTCATTCGATGATTCTCATTCAGCCGATTGTTGCTACATGATGTCACACTGTGAACCGACGATTCTCGCTAATAATAGCAAGCGCGCATGCGTAAATGCGTTGTGTCAACGCGCTTGCACCTATTCACGGATTCGCCCAATTACGAACCAACTGTTAATAGAAATTTCCAAAAATGTGTTACCTTCTTTTATTGTTTTCTTCAATAAAACAGCATGCCAGTGTCATTACTATATTTAAACCAAGTAAGCTTTGAACAATAATTTGGTCTGTTACTTTTTGGATGAAATAGTCTATGGTACCGGTACTCTACCTTTAAATAAATGCAAAAAAATCTATAGAATTAGAAAGCTCATCCCAATGGTAATTACTCTCTACTGCTGTGACTGTTTACATGTTTTCAAAACAAAAACAACAAAAACAAAAATAAGACTGGTCAGTGTCAATATTTATTTAAGAATTTTAAATTTTGAGGTTTGGGAGGGAAAATCAGAGGAAACAAAAAAATTGGCTTCAAGTTTGAATAAACAGGCACTCCGAAAATTCACTCCCTTTTCACAACTCTTGAAAACAAATCAACAGCCCTGAATTTGTAACCAGCCTTGCTCGCAGCCTTTTTTTTTTACTCGGGATGCAGCTGTTTTGTGAGTGGGCAATCTGGTTACAGTATTGATCTTCGTTCTTGTGTTGAGCCTTGCCCAGTGTGCCAATTCAATAAGATGAATTCAGAACCGCACTTGTTCCGAGCACTATTGTTGTAACATGACGTACATGTAGGGTTCCCCTTCGGTTGACAATGATAAAATTGGTCGAATTTTGTATGATGTCACGCATCTCCATGGTTATTGTATTTCCTAATTGATTGGGGGTGCCACAGTTTTTCCTATCTACAACAATGTACCGTAGTTTACCTTTTTCTATTAAAAAAAGCTCAACAAATAAATGGAAAAACACTTACGTACATGCATTATTCCATCAATACTCTGTGTGGCTTCCTGACTGAATTTGTGATAGTTGTGTTCACATTATGAAAACAGATTTGCGTTCATTTCAAAAAGTCAGTAAGCATACTAAAAGGTCATGTTCAAATTGGCAGTAGAATTTGCTTCACGACACAAGTTTGGTAACATCCATAGACCTTCTGTCATATACATGTAGGTACATGTACCTGTGCCACATTGTGTCCCTGCTAATTGAAAGGCTTTGCTAAGAAAACCCAGCTTGGAATTAGTTCCCATGTCAGAACTGCTAGAAAACACTGCTTGATAGATTACCGGCTGCTGAATTTCATGTGAACTTTCACTTCCAAAAGCTTAAGAACAAAATCCCAGCATGCTTTTATGATCATTATAATTGCTGTCAGCATTTGAAAATACAGGCAATTAAATTAAACATTCACCAATATGTGGTACCGGTACATGTGTACACATGACCATGCAAAGAATCTCAGTTTATGTGCGCTTGTAAACTTTTCCGCAAAAGATAAATGACTGTGGCATTGGACTGAAGCAAACAATGTAAACATCAGGCCACAAACATGTTTATGTGATGTACATGTACATGTACAACAACTGGCAGAAGTTTAAGGTGTGCTGAAAACAAAACGAAAGAAAAGTTATCATCACCATCCACAATGACTGCGTGGGCCAAGTTATGCTACACAAATAAACTCGCGTAACAACCGAGACCATTAGTTCCCATGACGACGGAACACCGGGGCCTATTTGCAGATTGGCCTCGCTCCGTTTTAAGGGGGTAAAAAAATGGCGGCATTGAGATAGAGGAAATGAACACTTCCCATTGGAAGTTGTTGGTCCATCAGTCCAAACATGGGCCCTGTGCATTGGACTGTATTCAATAATGTGTCAGGTGCTTGCATTGTCCTCCGTCCCCCTTTGCTCATTCGTGTTGGATGTTTAATTATCCCGAGCACACACCGGGTTGTCATCCGGGATGTTCAAATGAAATTAAGCCGTGATGGATCTGCTCTCTGACATGCTCTTACCTCCCCTCCCCCTACTCCCCCCCCCCCCCCAATGGGATGAAAACGTGACGAGAGAAAATGTCAAAAGTTCACACCTGTCCTGTCGACTACAGATCCCAAAGGTGCAATGCGACTTGATCCCTTCAAGTGAGCATCAAATTGCAGCAATCGAGATAAGAACACTTTAGAGCTTTCTAAATCTAGCTCTTCAGTTCTACAAATGTATTTACCCAGATTGCTTACACACGTATATCCTTCTTGTGTAATTGCAAAGTTCTGCATGGACAAAATATGTGTGCATTACAATGTACATTCATTAGTGTGCATTTGATCCCTTAAAGTGAGAATCAAGTTGCAGCAATCGAGATAAGAAAACAAAGAAACAAAATTTGGAAAGCTTTCTAAATCTCCGGTGGCTTATAGCTCTCCAGTTCTACAATTGTAATTTCCTCAAATTGCCAACACACATCCCTCTTGTGTAATTGTAAAGTTCTGCATGAACAAAATACGTGTGCATTACAATGTTCCGGTAAATCCATTCGTTAAATAATAAAAAGCAAAACAAACTCAGTTTTTAAGAGACCAGATCTTTAATAGTCCTTTCCCTCACCAATGGTGCTGATAATCTCTCTCTCAAAAAAAAGAAGATTAATGGAAACTAGAAATTGTGGTTGTGAACAACCACAGAGCTGTTCCCAATATTGATTATCTGTTGGACCAATAGACATATAAGTAGAGATCTATGTCTGTTTGCAACAGAAGATAGGGCTTTCCGCATTATGATTTGTTTTTATCAACGTCCCTGACTATCACTATGCATGAACATAAAATCTGTCAAAGTTAGCCGGAAATCGGCTAAAACGGTCACTGTGGACAGGATTTGACCTCAGCAACACGTGCGCTGCGCGCGGGCTGACCGACATACGATATGTACAACGTACGATGTACGTGCATGTACATGTACATTGTGGACGTCCTGTGCATGTTTTAAAGCAGAGGTATTGTCAACCTGAAGTTTTAAGCGTGCGCAGGGCATGTCCGAGTTTGCTTATTGCCTCGAAGCTTTGAAATGTTTTAGACCTACCCTTAAATAGACAATTAAAGTAAAAACTAATATAAAAACTGCCATGGTTGATTTTTCAGGAATTTTCTAAGGAAAAAGGGTCTTTTCATTATAACTTCCGGTCTGATGACGTCATACACCTAAAACTTCGCACACGTCTTAAGTGGGTCAAGGTCATCATATACACCAATATTTAGGCGATTCCGACAAACTTCGCCACAGACATCTATTCAAAATGCATTTTTGAAAATTTTCAACCTGTCGCTAGAGGGCGCTCGAAGATTGCATGACGTCATCGGTAGATGATTTGAAGAATACTGTCAGCCAAGAGACTAACACCGTTGAAAGCAAGTTCATATCTATTACCACTTTTAAATAATAAGCCACTTCCGGTTTTGGCCTTTTTCGACCGGAAGCAAGGGTCACGTGATATCACGCACACTGAATGAAATAAAGACCTCAACCTACTCTACCACTTGCCGGCAACAGAATGCTGCGGACGCGTACGGTTGATTTCTTATGCATTTTTAAATTTTAAAAGTGTCACAATTTAATTGCCTATAAATAAACACCGGATGACGTCATCATAACGTCATCATTACACAATGTTGTTTGATTTAGGGTCTTTGCTTGGACAAAGATTGGTGTAAATGAATTACTGGCAAAGAGTTGAAAATGCCCTCTGAAAATTGACATTTTTAAAAAAAAATTGTGTACAAAGTCAATGGGAAAAATTAAATATTCAAAATTCTATAATAAATCACGTGATGACGTCAGCATGACGAAAAGTTTCGGCACACATCCTCAGATGATGGTTAATAACTATGCTGAGTTTAAAGTTGATCGGATTTAAAATAATTGCCAAAGTGGCTTGTACTATAAAAACGTGTACAAAACCTATGGGGAAAAGTGGAAAAAGAAAAAGAAGAAAAAAAAAAAAAGGAAAAAAAAAAACTTTAACGAAAACAAGAGCTGTTCCCAATTGAAATTGGGAACAGCTAAAAATACAAAACTTTGTGGATAGCTTTATTGCTATGGCTCTTGCACTGACTCTCACATACTGTGCACTCATATCACTCTTTGAGTATCAAATGCAGTCTTGAGCAAAAGTGTAAGTGGTGCCAAACATGTAAATGCCACTTAAATGTACATGATTGCCACTTTGATTCTTTGAATACTCACGAATGTGTCTCTGGACATCACGAAACGATGGATTTCAAGATGCCACGAAATACCTTTTTGGAACCAGCTTACCGTACGTTGTTGAGCTGCATTTGTTTTCCTTCCCAAATTGTACCTTTTATTTTATCAAAGAAATCACATAGGGAAACTGACTAGGTGCATTATAATTATTGTATGGTTGAACAAAGAAATTGACTGGAGCGGGGTTTGAACCTGCGACCTCCGGATAACCATTCCGGTGCTCTACCAACTGAGCTATCCAGCCCTATGTTGGTGGCTCCCCATTTAGTCAATGTCTGTGTTTAAGAGGCGCTAGTCAGAAGCCATAAACTGGAACTGTTATCCGGAGGTGGCAGGCTCAAACCCCGCTCCAGTCAATTTCTTTGTTCAACCTTAAAGGAATTGTAACTTACTTAGAAAGATCTGTAGTTTAAAAGAGTCAACACTGCTTTCTTTTAACTTGCTAAGTGATGCACTTACTACCGTTGAATCTTTGTACAATATCTGTCCGCTTGTCTTCAGGTTGGAGTTTGACAATTCAATTCTTGCTTGAAATGTTATCAATAAGAGTAAGGAAAAATCTTATTGAATTGCCAATCTTGTCAAAAAAATATGAAATGACAAGCTCAGCAGATTTGAGCCCTCTTGTGATTTACTTTACGTCAGGCACATGTTTTGCCACTTACAATGTAAATCTACGTTAATGTCTTATCAAGGTCTGATATGGTCCGAAGGGCAGCGCCGACTAAAGCAGACACAGGATAACCTACTCACGCAACAGCGTCTTGAAATAACTGACTTCATGGGTTATGGTTGTGACAGTCTTCTGTCCAGTGACCTGCGAGTGACGGCCCTGACACCCAAGAGCCCTCAGGGGGTCCCCACACCACTTCAACTGTCATTCCAATCTCAAGTGGTGCATGGGGGAGTCTGCGTTTTTAAGAGCAGTTTGAGTTGAAAGTGGCTGCATGGGCATGTCAGTTCCAGACGATATTGGCACAATGTCTAATGTGCCATTATCAGATTTGATAATCATCAGATTCAATAAGTTTTTTTTTCTTGTAAAAAGCATCCACTTATCTGTCAACTACCCTGCAGGATAATTTTGTTCTTTTATCCCATCGTGTTTTTATTCCCTCTTTTGCAGGTCTTGTGCCGTTGGTTGTTGAGCGTACGCAAGAACTACCGACCCGTCATCTACCACAACTGGCGACATGCTTTTAACGTTGCACAAACCATGTTTGCCATGTTCAAGGTAAAAAGACTATCACACTTGATACATGTGTGTTTGAAAGACTTCTTATCCAGTTTTGATTTTGCTACAGATTTGAAAATGAAGAATTGAAAACTCTTTATCAGCAAAAGCAAACTTTCTGTAGCTTGTCCATGTACATTCGATACTTGTATAGACAAGTCCTGTGCCCACAGAGTTAAGTTCTTACTATTTGTAGACAATTTACTTTCTTGGATACGATGGTCTCTGGTTCGTGTGAAGCAAATTTGATGACGTCAACCATTGAAGTTCCTTTGTGACTTAAGCCTTTAGCCTAACAAATTTGCTTTGCACTAAAATTTGCGTGAAGTATAAACTGGCCGTCACGGTAATCGATTGCTGCATTATCACTTCTAGATTTGTGTAATAAAGCATTTGCTAATAGCCTATACCCTTAGCGAGTTACATTTCAATAACATCTGGTACACTGATTGCTCATAATGCCCGCACGTTTAAACTTTGAATTCTCCAGACCAAAGACACTGTTGCTATATCACATGATTCGGGGCAAGCTTTTGCATAGTTACGTAAGAGACGCTCAGCATCAATACATTGCTCACAATGGCTGAGAATGGCACTAAGACACCAGAACATTCCAAAGCTGGGGGTTGCTAGGGTAAGGCTTGCCCCGAATCACGCGATACAGCAACAGTCTCTTTAGTCTGGAGAATTCAAAGTTAAAATGTGCCAAGCATTCGAGCAAGTCAGAATACCAGATGTTACTCAAATTTAATTCGCAAATGGCTTATTGTGCATAGAGCATGTAACAAACATGTTGCTAGAAAATGCAAAATACATATGGCTGGTCTTAATCGACACAAAACATGTCCGGGCATTTCTAGCATGTATCCCAACTGTACATGTACGCATACTGGTACCTTCCTTCCACGCAAAGAGGCTATGGAGTGACAAGCTCAACATTTGAAAAAGGACGCATTGATTCACTCTACGCAATTTAGGTGAGCAAGCCAGTTCAAGCAAGCAGCACCATCTGTGGTTTCTGTACAGAGGCCTACCGTATATGCTGATCAAGACCACCATATGAACCGTTGATGACACTGTACGACCAATCATGCCAGCGTCCAACTTTCCTGACAATATATAGAAAACTTCCTCATAGCTTATAGTTCCTGCCAGGGCATTGGTCCAGGCATGCCTGATGCGAAATACAACAAATTTTGATGTGAATATCCACAAAATGCGCAGGTGGCAATGGCAATCGAGTGTCTCATATCTCTCTCATCGTCAGCAATGAAGGGGTTACTTAGTGGTTATGTTTCCTATTTTTTTATTTGTATTTTATTTTTTTATTTTTTTTTAAATTCATCTAGACTGGTGGAATGAGCAAAGTCATGTCTGATCTGGAGGCCTTTGCTCTGCTGGTTGCCTGCCTCTGTCATGACTTGGATCACCGCGGCACAAACAATGCTTTTCAACTGAAGTAAGTTACTCATGCCTTTGGAATTCCGAGTACCTGCCTTTGTTCTTTCAAGTAGGCCCGGTCTCTTGAGTTAATTGGCTGCAATCATTTTAGAGGCTTGAAGATGTCCAAAATTGGCACCAAAAAAATAGTTTTTCAGTTTAACCCTAACTCCCTAGGCCTTTTTGCTACTTTTTGCTAATTAACCTCATGGAAAAAAAGCATACAGCCTCAATCCTGCAAATTCCTCCATTGTTTCTTGAATATGGTTCGTGGAGGAGTGACCACTGCCTGAATCCTGCAAAATCATGCGGCAGTGACTGTCAGTACATGTATGTTGAGGCTTGGCCAGTGACATCCTGGAGCAGTACGGGGGAATTTCAAGCATAATCCAGGCCTAAATTCATGCATGGCTGAGCAAAAACAACACAAGGTCAGGCCAGAGACCTTAAGAAATTGCATCCTACAAAATCAGTAACGCACTTTTGCCATGTGACCTCAATCCTCCAAATTCTTCCACTTTGGCAACGAGGATTTTGAAGGATTCAAAAGCATACCAATTGAAAATTTGTATGCTTTACAATAAGGGTTAAATAAAGCATAAATAAAGCATACAAATTGAAAATTCGTCAGGAGAAAACATTTGGATGATTTGAAAATCACAGATAGAGCAAATTTAACCACTGATGAACTTCCTATCAACTGAGATCAGGAAAGACCAGAAAAGTGAATGGAGACGGAAGTGATTGTCTCTTGATTGATGATGTGGTTTCGTCTCGTTGACTTCTCATTATTCAGGACTGCTTCAGCTCTGTCCCAGTTATATAGCACCTCCACCATGGAGCATCATCACTTTGATCACTGCATCATGATCCTCAACAGCGAGGTAAAACCCGACACCAACTTGGGGCTATTGATGTCAGTGTTTATTCCTACTTGGTTCAAGCCATTCAAGTCAAAGTTGTTATTGATTGCTATGTCAATGACATTTAGCCCATTAGTGGAGACTGAATTGCCTGACGTCAACAATTTAGTAATAACGTAGAATGGATTTTTCATTCAGCTTGCTTTCATGGGACGAATAGCATACATAGTGAGTCAAAAAGAAAATGACCCGAATGAATGATTTTGTTTCATTAAAAGCAATCCAGTTTGAAACACCGATGAAGTATGTCTTAAAAGAGCATGTTCTCCCACTCATTTAAAAATGAAAAAGAATTACTGAAATTGATCCATGCTATCAGACGTTATGCACATTTTACTAAAAGAACACATTTTTATAGCTGTCCTTAGAATGCCATTGAAAGCTACCGGTATTGAGCTGAGTGAGAATTACAGATTACACACGAGCATTCAAATACAACTGAGATTTTAATCATTCAAATCAAGACTGAAACATTAGTTTTATTACTGTCAGATTTTGTGTTTTGAATATGAGGAACAAGTTACCGTAACTCTTTTTTTCCCTGAAATATTGATGGCCATTTTTGCCACTTTTCCTGTTCAAGTTTTCCTTCATTCACGGAGGTGGGAAAACGTTAATGTTTCATTGTATTTAACGGGTATTCATCAGTTCGTAGAACGGTAAATGATCAGTGGTGGACAGCTGAATTTTGTGATCTTCATATTAAAATAGACGTTATTTGGGAATGGAGTATGCAAATTACGTGAAATTTTTACAAACCACATATTTTAAAAATAGTTTTTCTAATTCGGTCACTTTTTTTTGGACTCGCCCTGTACATTGGTACGATTTCCTACCTCCGTCAGTGTTGGAGAAGACGAAGACAATTTAATTAGTGCTGTAAGTTGCACAGGTGTCATTTTCATTGCCAGTAGGTGGTGGCAGGCTGCCTGCAATATCAGTGTACCCTCCCCCAGGGCCATCGTAAGAGATCCAATCTTCTCAGCATCTGCAGTGAGATATATCCAGAGGTGGGGGGGGGGGGCTGTTCTTACCACAATGCACTTAAACAAGGGCAGCTTACCTCGCCCGGGCGCATTACCCGCATTGTTGACATTTTCAATCGTTCGTCTTGAACAGGGGAACAATATCTTCCAGTTCCTCTCGCCCGAGGACTACCGAGAGTTGATTCGCATGCTGGAGGGTGCCATACTGTCCACCGACTTGGCGCTGTACTTCAAGTAAGAATTCTCTAGGCCGTTTTTCAAAATTACATGTACACGAAGTCTATCGCCAACACTTTCCATTCCCCCGTCAGAAAAATTCAGTTGGGCTCATGATTTACCCTATATGTAAAGTCAAGAACATGAAATTAATCCTGTTTTTTTATTCTCAAATTTCTACATGTAGTTCACTTGGTTGGTTTGCTTAAAGGGAATATACCACATTTGCAAACATCGAAAAATAAAACTACCAAGTTTTTACGAAATACCTTACTAGGATGTTGGTAAATGACAGTCTCAAGCATCTTGTAAAATTATGGCACCTGGTGTGAAGTCATTTTCAAGAAAATGGTATTTTTGTATACATTTCCAACGGTGGTCGGCCGACCAGCGTTGGAAAAACCTAACTATTTTTCAACTACTGCTCCAAATTTACCATTTTTTCAGTCCAAATTTTGTTTGCTATTGGTTACATGTTCATGAACGGGTGCAGGCCAGCTAGACTGGTTCCCTTGCCTTACAATTTTCCATCATCTATAAATTGATCCATTTTATCTTTTGTGGAGTCAGGGAACCAGACTACTTGAACATTTTTGTTTTTCTTGGTGTTTCCAACCTTTTCGAACACAAAACTTCAAAAATGTCAGTGTAACAATATTTGATCTATTATACTAACCCCTCAAATAGTTTATTTCTGAAAATTACAGCAAAAGCCAATGATGTGCATTCCCTTTAATTGATTAAATGGCCCACCTGCCATTTGTTGGGCAGTATGATGGATTGCTCATTTGCAATATGTCCCGTATTGCATGGTGGTTCAGCAAATGTGCAGTAATTGATACTCTATAGAACATAGCTCACATATATTACTCTCTCTCACTCTGGCGACTTCCGTCGGACATTAGTGATGGCTCTCCAGGGTTGTGTTTCTATCATGCAACTATGAATGTGCCTTGGTTGTAGCTGGGTGTCTCGGCACAGTGTATCAACATATGTAGTCATTGGTCGTCCCACGTTTCGCTTCCCTTGGGTTGGCTGCCAGAGAATCAAGCTGGCCACTGGTTGATTGCTTGATCTTCTGCAATGCCCTGCAAACTGGAGCCGTCTCTTCTTAATATGAAAAAATATGAAAGCCCAAAGCACAGTAGCATTAAAAGTAAATGTACTTGGGTTTGGGCCCGTTTTAAGGCAAGGAATGACCAAAAAATTTCCAAGATTTTTGCTCTTCGAAAAGCGAGCTTCACCCAAAATGTGACCAGATGACAGCTGTAAGGTTTGACATCTATGGCCTTTGTGACATACATAGCCAATTTGTAGTTGCACTAAGGCTCACTTTTGTCAGAACACATCCCGGTTTGTTTGCAAGATCAGCAAGAAGCTGGTTGTTTGACGTCTGCGTCTAGGATCTTTTCATGTGTTTTATGGATGGGTCTCGTCCTGACCTGCATTTTTTTAAATATTATTCTGCAGGAAACGCAATGATTTTTTCAAGCTGGTTGAGCAAGGAGTGACGGACTGGGAGGAACCTAAGCACAAGGACCTGCTGAGGTATGGACAGTCAGAACGTTAGTCTTGGGAACTTAAAAAAACATCAAAAGGGCGTAGCTTTCACACTTTCTTAAATCTCCATATTGGACATGGGTCCAACACAGTGATTTTTGAAACACTATCTTAGTCTCCAGCTTGACTTCTAAACACCTTTGAAGTAAAAAATTAAAAAAAAAACCTGTTTAACTTGACCTCATACATAAAGAGTCGTTGTTCCTGAAGCAGTTAAAATGTATTGAGTCAAAGTTTCCAAATCAGGGGCTAAAATCTCCTTATGCCAGCGACAGAGTATTTGAAACCCCCCTTTTATGTTTTCTTTTTGGGTCTTGGTTCCCCAGGGGAATGATGATGACTGCCTGCGATGTGTCGGCCATCACTAAGCCCTGGGAGGTCCAGCGCCGGGTAGCCGAGCTGGTCGCCAGCGAGTTCTTTGAGCAGGGCGATATGGAGCGGGAACAGCTCAAAGAGGAGCCCATTGTAAGTCTGGATTCGAGTCTCCTGACTGGAGCTATCGTCTAGGTCCTTGACGCTTAGAGCTATTTGGGAGGAATGCTGACAGTAGATGCAGTCATTGTTCTGGAGGTGGTGGAACCAGGGTCCTTTATACAGAAATGCCTACTACAATCCTGGCCAAATCTCACTGGGCCCCCAACCCCCGGCCCCCGCTCAATGTTGCCTCTCATCGCACGGTGTGTGTTCCATCAGCTGGAGAGAACAACATTGACCGGGGGAACGGGGGAGTGGATGACCTTGGGAGGCTGAGGTTATTTCCAAGTGTCCCAACCATTTTGGCCGGGATTGTAGGCCTGGGCGAGTAGTGGATGTTTCTACTGGAGTACTTGCACAGAAATTATTTGAGAGTAGTCGAGTATACCCATGAGTAGTTAACCGAATTCCCATAAAAGCAGCAAAATGACATAGATATGCTACTAGTATGATGGGAAGTACCTACAAGCAAATAGCGTGCAAGTCACACCATTCTTCAGTCCTGAGATATCCTTACTGTGCGATGTTTTAGGTCATTTACTTGAATTTTTGAACGAATGGAATCCTAGGGAGAGAGAGGTGGAGGGAGTGATTCCCTGTTTGCAGGGGACACATTAAGCCATAAACCCTAAATTACTACTCCCGAGTATCTGCTCCTACTTCCCGCCAGGACGAGTTCTCGAGTAGATTGAAAACCACGAGTAGAACAATGAGTAGCATAAACTACTCGCAAGTACTCGAGTAATCAAGTTACTCGTCCAGCGGTAATTCCTACTGTCTCCAACTTCTGAAAAAACAAAAAACATGAAGCAGAGAATGAAATTACCCCCACAAAAAAACGACCCAGAAAAAAAACTGAACTAGCACAGTCAGTTTGAGCTGTCACGTGAATGCTAAACCTCTTAATTATTAACTTATAATGTATTTTTTTGACTGATCGCGTCTTAGTTTGTTCAGACAAGTAAGGTCAATTTGTCTGAAACGGTCCGATGTTTCCAGGTAACCACGACTGATTTGAGGTAATTATGGTGGATTCTTTACAGGCCATGATGGATCGGAGGAAAAAAAGTGAACTTCCCAAAATGCAAGTGGGGTTCATTGATGCAATATGTATGCCCGTGTACAAGGTAAGAATGGCTGTAAAGATAATAATCACATCTGATTCACATGCTTTGAGAAAAAATTGGGGGTGGGTTTCTTTTTTGGTTTTTAAGCACCTTTGTAAAAAAAACCAAAAAAAACCAAATCTGAAATGGTTTAAAAAAACATGTAAATTTTACACTGAATTAATTGGGTCAATTACGTTTACAACTAAATAATGAAAGGTTTGCGGAAACACCATGTATGAATAATTTCTCAACTAAGAGAATGGTTCTGAAAAGAACCAGAGGTATAAACGTTCCGGTCAGTATGCTCTGACCGTCTTCAGGAGAGAAGAACCAGAGGTATAAACTCGACGTTCCGGTCAGTATGCTCTGACCGTCTCCTGAAGACGGTCAGACTGATCAGAACATCGAGTTAATACCTCTGGTTCTTTTCAGAACCATTCTCTAAGTTGAGAAGTTATTCACACATAGTGTTTCCGCAAACCTTTCATTATTTAGTATCTCCACCATGCAAAGCCTCAAATCTTATTTACATTTACAACAGGAAGTAATCTTTTATTACGACTATTAAGACTTTGGAGGGCTCTATCTCAGAAAATGAGAAAACAGGAGTGTAATTTATCTCGGGGGGGGGGGGGGGGTTCCGACTAATAACTGCCAATTACTTGAAACTGTCCTTGTGACATGAGGCTCACTTCACAGAAGTCCAATTTTATACCCAGAAATTGCTTTGCTGCAGCTTGTTACATGTGCCTGCCCTTATAAAATACCTCAGAGAAACTCCAAATCAAAGCAAATGCGTCAAAGGAAAATGGGCAGTCTGATTGAAGTGGGTCTGCTCACAAGGCCAGAGAACTCACGGAAATGAATCTTTTTTGATTGCATTGTCCAAATATGTTTGCTTACGACGTGTACGGCCTTCTGCCTTTGTATTTCCGAGGGAATTTGGCTCGGTGGCCTCAGCTGAAATTGTGACTTTTCTGACAATTGCAGAGGTGATCCCATTGTGAAATTGTACACTTTACACGTCTTTTGTTTGGTAGTCCCGGAAAAATCTACATCTAGAAGCAAAAGCAGATGAAAATTTTTATGGGGGGGGGGGAATGAGGAGTCTACTTGAGGAGTCTACCATTTTCTAGTATTCTTTTTAATGGCCTTTGTTTTCTTATAAATATGAAGAAAAGAACAATTTGAACAAAAATGTAGAGAAAAAAACAAAATAAACAAAGACATGATTCTGGAAATTATGACTGGGTACCCATGGTCGTGAGAAAAAAAACTACAAATAAAGAAATGGAAAGACGTCCTGGAAAACTTAATGTATCATGTAATCCTGATGCACCAGTTATCTTTAGAAAACAGTAGATTTGGGCAATAATGATTGATTTGTAATACAAAAAAACATGGAGGTGTTTATTTCTTGAATTTACATGCATTTTGTCAAAATTTCAAATGGGAACCGTGCTTTTTTTCTTCAAAGCTGAAATCAACACATTGACTCCGTGCATGAACATTGCAAGGTGCGCCTTCACCACTCGGAGAGCCCCATGTGGGAGTGATGCAAATTTTTTTTTCCCCAAACGACATCTGCATGGGGTGTACGCTGTGACGTTTTGGATTTTACTTCTCTTAAAAACATGATAAAAATATGTAAAATTAGAAGAAGAAAAAACGACTTTATTTCCCTTTTAAAACCAATCCTCCAAAGCCTCAGATTAGAAAAGAAACAAAATCCGGGTAAAACTGGTGATTTGAACCCATATCGCGAGGGTCCCTCACGGTACAAAATCACGATCCTATCCAACTGAGCTGTCGAACTGCTCGACAAATCCTGGAAATTCATGGTAATATATACCTGCGTACGTATCATAAAAGAATTGTAGAGGGCGCTCAACAACCATCTAATGTGGATGTTATTTGGGGGAAAAAATAATTTGCGGGAGGGGCACCCTGCATGCGCACACTGGCTCGCACATGTCCGGTGCGAAGTACTCACGACTTAGTTTATTCTGAATAGTGCCTTTGCGTTAGCGGCGACGTCAGCAGTGCGTCCAAGTGCCCCAGTGGTCCCTCCCGACTTTCTCTTTTTCACCGTTGAGGGGGTACTTGTTCGCTGAGTCCATACCCGAAGCCAAATTCCCTTTGTTTCTCACCTCAACGTGTGTCCTTTCCCAACAGGTCCAACGAGCAGAGATTTCATTTTCCCCGATTCTTCCCATATAGATCAGTCTAAGAGTCAACGCCATCCATCCCCCTTCATTATTACCACTCTTGATGGAATACCCACCTATCCCATACTCTCTGACGCATCTTTCTTAGTCAGTTACTCACAATTGTATGACCTACCTGTAGTGTGCATGGACATATGAAGCATGTCAAACTTCATTTAGGAATCGGCTTTCTGAGGGCATTATGTGTGCATATTTGAAAATACCAAACTGTATAATTTTGTATTTTGCTGCTATTAAAAAAAAATGCATTTAATTTGAAAACCAAAAAATATCATCCGTGCATCGAAAAGAAATCATTTTCTTTTGTTATCTTTGCAAAATTAATGTTGAATATTGGATCAATTTGCATTATGTCAAAAAAAAAAATTATTGACTTTGTTTCAAGTACCAGTCCGTCTGGGGAAGCCATGGTAGCATACTGTTATACTTGTATGCATATTTTTGAATGGAAATAACAAAATACATGCATAATACTTTAGGGGCATTAGCTAATATACCGGTATAGTCTGTGTTAAAAAAGTTTTGGTAAAGATTCCTGAACATTATAAAGAATTCCTTGTTTGACAAATTTGAAAATGATCAGATTTGCTGGTCATGCATATCACCAGACTAGCACTGAAATCACTGGATTTGGTCCAGTGCTCCCATAGGTACATGTATTTTGAGCACTGGCTGAGGTAAAGATATTGGCAATGTCGGTATGAAAACTGGTTAATAAAAGTAACAGCACTCTGGGTATACCAACAATATTGTACCATGGCTGTTAGTGTTCCTGCACCAATCATCCTTTCCGTGTAAGCACACATCATTTAGTCTTTCCATACCCCAAGCCCCACCCCCATTCTCCACTCCCAACCCAGCACCATACCCCAACCCCCACCCGAATACTCCATCCCTCATCCCACCCCATCGCACTTCCACCCCCAGCCAACCACACCCTTTCCCCACCAATGCACTCACTCACACCATCCCCGTTTATCAATCCCTTATAATAATGTGTCCCATCTTAACACACTTCATATGCCTGCTGCACAAACCAGTGACATGGTTTTTGTTTTGGCATTTGCCTCTTTCTTTCTGCCTTTTGTTTCCTAATCACACCAGATCTTTGCCGACACCTGGCCAGGATTGTCTCCACTTTTGGAGGGTGTCAAGCGTAACCGTGGAAACTGGCAGTCCCTCTCCGAGGGCAAAATTCCGGAGGGTTAGGATTTTTTTCCTCTCTTTTAGTTTTTTTTTCTTTACAGTTCCATTTTCTCATTATTAATAAAGGTTGCCATTTAATGAAACTAACCACATTTGTTTTTTTCTTCATTGCCGTGGAGTTGCTTTTAACTTTGACAGGGTTTGTTGTCAGTGGAGCGCTGATGAGGCTGATTCACCCGGCTAACGTTTGACTCCCATGGCGGCTTGTTTCATCTACTAAGACTAACCACCCCCAAGATGCGGTATAACAGTGATCTCTGGGGAAGGCCATGCCGCTATGGTTGTCCCAGGAACAAGGGGAGATGAGCTATTCTGAAATTTTTGTACCCATCATCAGTCCCGTATTGTTCCTTTCTTGCCTAGAATCTAGCCACTTTGCAGCCCCAATTGGCCCCGCTGCACGACGGCGTGCAGCACAACCGCAGCCAGTGGCAGCAGCTGGCTGACACCGAGGCCGAGGCCCACAAGGCCGAGGAGGCCCAAAAGGCCGAGGAGGCAAAAAAGAAGAGAAAAGCCAGCCAGGACCCGGGGAAGGAGCGCAACGCCACGGCCAAGGGTGAGATAGATTGAGAGAATGAAAAAAAAAACGAGGGGGAGATCAGATGGGACCGTCCTCCTGTGCTTTCCACTGTACGTCCGTGTCTCTCACACTTGGCATGGTCGCTGCCACCACTCACCAACCACCGCCACGTCACTGTATCATCCTCATCATCATCACTCATCTATTCTGGCTGTTGCCGCTGTCGCAGTCGCTGCTGCATACGTGGCATGGTTGTCCCCACCCAGTCTGCTTGGTGTGTTCGGAGAGCCCACGCTGCCTCTTCCGTTGTGTGCATTACAAGTGAACATCATCCTCCTTCCCCCCGGCATGCGTATGACGTGTGACGTGTGTGTTCTCTCGCATCTCATCATCTGGAATGTAAATGATCAGTCGCCTGGTTGCCTTGCCCGCACAAACACACGCACGCAACCACACATGGCCCAGTGTTGTGCCATTGGGTGGTTGTTCATCTACACACCAATAATGGAATGATTCGTGCATGCTGGATTCATCTCTCTTTCTAATCTCTGCACTATTTTTTATTATTATTATCGCTGGCGCATGATAGCTGGCCAATTCTGTTGTTTCTTTTTCTTGAAATCCAGTAAGAATGCTTCACACAAAATGCGTTTTTTGGTATTAGGTTCTCATTAAAAAAAAAAATCCTGCAATGTCTTGAATGCTTTACAAAAGTCTAAGTTGACCTTTTCCATACCAATACTGAAGTTAGATATCTTAAGCAAACCTGAGAGAAGAAACGCATAAATACAAGAAAAAAGTGACGCATAAGTACAAGCGACATCAGTGAGACCATTCCCTTTCAACAACTAGAAGTCTTGACCGTCTGCTCTTTCTCTTGGTCATTTTTGTTGCATCTCTGAATGATCCTCTTGAATTAATGAACATGATGTAATCCATTTTACTCTTAAGCTACTTTCGCCTACTCCATCAAAGTATCGGGAAAAAAACATAGTCACTTAGCCCCAATAACATTCTAAACACTAGGGTAGTAACATGTTTCCGGCTAACTTAGCAATACCACGATCATATTTTACTTCATCATTCAGCTTTTATTTATTTTTATTTTTTAATTTTTTTATGAAGTAAAACATTTTGGATTGGTTTTTTTTTTTTTCCTTGGTTTTTCTTCTTGTAAGTATAAAAACCCGTTACCAGAATGGCACGACACTTCACCAGCTTGACCATGTATCTCTACAAATCTGTTACCGGAAACAGACGCACGGTCATTGGTGCAGCATGCAATAATTGCCTGGGCATTAATGAGGTCAGATTGAGGTCAGACTGAGGTCATCCTAGGGGTCAACGCATGAAAAGGCCACATCAGTCCATCACAATGCATGTCGATTCATCCATTCGTATATATATACACACACACACACACCCACATGGTGCCTTGAGCATGTCACTGTTTATATCACGCCACCAAGCCTCAAGACATTTCTATATTTCTTCCAGCTGTGTGTAGTGAGCGAAAAAAGACACTGCCTCGTGAGCTTCTTAACGTCTGTTTCCGGATGTGACCCTGTCTACGATTCCAACAGCCCACTTGAATTCAGACCAGTGTTGTAGTTCTCGTTCTTATATTCACACTCATGCTCAAGAATTTTTTTATCTGTACTTGGTCTGATACTCGTATTATATTTCAATACCAGAGACAAAATACTTGTACTTGAGGATTTTTGTTCTTCTAAAGTTTTACTCCTCCTCTTCAAAATGCGCTAGACTTGACCAGTTCAGTTTCATTCAATTCAGTACTTTATTCTCATCACGAAAACATGATGTTGCCCTACCAAAAATGTGTCCTACTTTTTAATTGTGTAGTCATATTGCCTATACAGGCACTTGAATACAATTTTCCATAATCAGTATTGTGAAGAAAGTACTGAACTACAACACTGTCAAAGGTCTATTGCCCCTTTGTTTCTTCATCATAGTTTGTGTGGCCCAGTATGTACCAATTAAGCCACAACAAAGGACCTAATCTATATGTGATGAGGTTTTGAGGGTCCAGATTTCTTCCACAAGCAATGGCCACAAAAGATATCCCTTTACAACATACTGTGCATCAGTTCATACATACACGTATGAAGCTCTAGCTAGGGAATTGAAAATAGGATATATTACATATGTACATTCGCTTGGTTAGCACTATTGAGAGTTTCATGTCAAGTATGAAAATTCATACAAATTTTGAGTGATTTGATATTGTTTTCGAGCCACTGTGGAAAATTTGTCTAAACTTACTTAGCCTACTTCCAGCTAGTAGGAGTCAAGTATTAGTATTGTCTATAAAAATCAAACCATGAAATAAATTTGCTCATTCTTGCAATACAACATGTCAAGCCAAGTAAACTAGCTCATTGGCAATTTTCAGTGCAATTCTACAAGACTTGATATTTTTGTTTTCACAAGAAGTCCTGTATACATATGTAGCATTAATTAAGGCTAACGATTCCCACTGTCTTTGTGTTGACACCCTGTTACCTTTTTATTTTATTTTATCCGTCATGTTTCACACCCTTTGGACGAGCAGTTTAGAATGTGCACTGCGGCCAGTGTGTGCCGACAAAACCCTGTAAGTGTACACATCTAAGTATTTGGAACTTGCAGATGAGGGTTTGAGGTAGACATCTTGCAGTGGTTTTTAGTTTTTGGTTAATAACAAACGTTGGGAGACATGAGGAAGTGGATATATACTGTAGATGCTATCTGTAGCTGCCTGTCGATCATCCTCGTTTCATTTTTTGTTTTTCATTTGCTGCTGCTGCACTCTTCACACCATGCCTGTCTATGTTTCTAGAGCATCACTATAGCTTTAGACAATCAAACAATTCTGCTTTCCACCTGTTTCATCTTTTGAAACCACGTCACGAAAATCATGGCTCATTTCAGATTCCAAATGGGCATAGTATCATTCACATCTGTAGTGCAGCTGTTACGAAAGGAAAGTTGCACCCAAAACATGGCATCAAAGACCTTTGATTCGTTCCAGTTGGTACATTGCTGGAAATTTTCTTCTTTTTTTCCCCCCGCCATTATTGGTCATTTTGTTCCCCTAGTACATGTAATTTAGCTGTACCAATTTTCATTCTTCAGCAAAACAACAGATTACAAACTCTGTAGTCTTGAGTTTTTAATAACGCCTTTTTTTTTTTAATGCATTTCAATAAAACCAGTTCAATAAAACCAGTGCAATAAAACCAGGAAAAACCAAGAAACATGGTAACACATAGCACAGTTGGCACGCTAGGTTTTCATTTGATCACTTTTAAAGTTGGTACGTGCTTTTCGGGTGTGGCACCTTGAAAAATAGATTTTCAAATTGAATTGTTGATTTTCTAGCATTACATTAGTTATGAGCTTTCCAAAGAGACATCGCACGCAAAAATCGGCCCATGACAAGTAATCAATTAATTAATTTCAACTTTTGAATTACAGTGTAAGAGCGGGATGCTCCTAATTCGTTCTGAATAGTGTGTGCAATTTCTGAACTGGAGCGTGCCATTTAAAACCACTGTATAAAAGCCTGCAAAAACAAACAAGCAAATTTATCTGTTACAGCACATTATGTTCCTTCAAATTTTGTTTGGAAAAGAAAATCGAAATTTTGAAAAAGCACTTAATACCAACTTTAAAGTGAATTTTACTCTGTTGTTTAATGGGACTTCTTATTTCATGATGGGAGCTTGCCTCAGTCAGTACTACAGTACAGTGTAGACAATAATATGCTTTAGCAGTGGTTTGGTTCATGGTACTTGTCTAGGAGGCTGCTATTTTAATTTGTCAGCTTTTTTTTAGTTGCTTTTTATGTGCTGATTTTGTAGGAGTGGAATTCTTCGATGAATTCTGCGGTAAAGCATCTTGGCCTTTCTTTGTGGTGTTTGAAAGTATTGGAAGTGGAGAAATATGCATGGCCTGGTGAATGGTGTCTCAATATATATGTCATAATGGTGCATATATGTTTTGTTCATGTGATAACCCCAATGTTAAACGACATGATCAGTAACAGTTTGGGTGACCCTACATAGAGCTCACTCCTAGGTTCCTGTTCCGTCAAACTTTGTCAAGAAATTTCAAAATTTCTTAAATAAATGCATGTTTTTTCATCATTACACCGTGCATCACGGACAGGTTTTCGAAACCAAAAGTTACTTATTTTTGCCCGCTTTTTCTACCTTCCTGACCAGATTTTATCATTTCCTCAAAACCCATTTTAAGTTTTTAACATCAAAACAGATGCTAGTAAGTGAATCTTCAATACTATAGTTTGTTGGTCTGACGGTTGACTAGTCGTTTATTCTTTGCATGTAGCATTTCTCTTGCCTGTGCATGGTTTTTGATTGTGCTTGTTACTCACCATACCCACCGTTTGTCACTTAACACAACAGCTTGAATTTGGAATGCCCTAATCATCATTGCAATGTAATGAGAAGCTGTACATGCTTGTTATTTGCCAAAGTTGTAAAGAAGACTGCCAATCTCAGCCCTATGGACGAGCGGCCATACAGTTAGACTTCTTTTCAAGCAGTTCGACTGATTGATCAGTTGTCGTTCCCTTCCCAAAATGCATTGCTTTCAAAACAGAATCGTTGAATGCGAGTGACTATGTTTGGCTATATATGCATTATTGCGATCCATGCTACATACTGCCCTCGCGTGGCTAGGCATGGATCAGATACAATAACATTCTCTATAGTGGGTTCAGTCGAAAATATTCAGAGGCCACAAACATTCAAACTTCAATCGAGGGCTTCAAACTTCAGTCATTATATTTTTCATGTCATGTTATTTAATCTAACTAAAAAAGTTTTGAAAACCGACCCTATTTAAAGGAAGGAAAACAAATATGTATTTGTAATACGCTTTTTGGAGAGAAAACCCTGTTGTGGTTTTAGCTGATTTACATAACCATTCATAATACAATTTTTTTTTCAAATGCAGCGGAGTTGTTCTTGTTTTAAAATCCTGGCACACTACTTCATTCAGTGCATCATGTATCAATTGTTTATTGTTTTTAATGAAAAATACTCTGAAAAGAAATACAACTTTCCATATGGCTGATTGGCACCTAGCTTTTTTACAAGCTGTCTGTTCATGTTGCATGAAATATGCCCTGATTGTTGTAAAAAAAAACCCACTGCGTTCAGCTTAAAATGCTTACTGTTGTGTGGTAAACATATATCTGTTTGTCGTTCAATATTCATATTTATCTTTAAGCAAACATGAATGCTCAGTGCTAATTGGTCAATCCCATATTCTTCATCATCTAGCGGTCACAACCGGTGCGTCTTGCAGTCTTCTTCCTGTGTTACGACCACCAAATTTAAAAACCACGCATTGAGTGCTTCTATCGATTGCTTAAAGATAAATTTATTGTCCCCGCTTGTGCTTGTAGATCATGGAAAATGTGGTGCATACAAGACACAAATGGACCACTTTTGTACTCGGTGGCGCACCCAGGATTTGGCTGGGGGGGGGGGGCTCACAATGTTTTGTTAAAAAAAAAAAAAATTTGAAATTTGAAAAAAAAATTGGGGGGAGGGGGGACGGAATATTTTGACATTGGCATCCCTGTTATACTACTCGAAAATAGGCCACATACATCTCACCATAGTCAAATTGTAAGCCTAAAAAAAAATTGTCCCCCCCCCAAAAAAAAAATTGACAATCTCTTGGGAGAGGGCTCAAACCCCCCAGCACGCCCCCCCCCCCCCCCTTGGGTGCGCCACTGTTTGTTCTAGTTCCTCTTAAACTCACGGGATAAAAACAAATAACACTGATTTGTTTTTATAGGCATGTGTGACTTATCTAATATTTCATCAGACAATGAGCTTGTTAATCTCCTCATCTACTGACATGGTCAAAACTTAGGGTTTTTTATTAAATATTTTGTGTGTGTGTGTGAGATATTCCATTTAAAGTTTAAGATACTGAAATCAGAAGTATCATACTTTAATTAAAAGTGAGATTGGGTCATTCAGAGTCAGTTTACAAAACTATTTGATGTTTTCGGATATTTCAGTGCATTGGTGTTCCATCAAAATCAGTTAAGTAAAAACAAAAAAAGTGTGTTGAAATGGCATAGAAAATCTGTATATGAGCTCTTTGGTTCATCAGCTCAGTACTACAAATGCACTTTTCCTTTCCAAACGATGCTTAAGCTGTAACCCCCTCTCCTAATGAAAACCTCTGTTCTTCATCCATAAGGCATCACAATTTGAAAGTTGTTTTGCAGTAACCCAGTAAGTCCTTTGTGGTAGAACTCACAAGCAATCTTAACGAAGTAGACAATTCTGAAAAATCTGTTAAAAAGTATCAGTTTACAACTCTTTTCAACCAGGGCAAAACAACTGCTTGACAGTTAAAGAGTTTCCAGTTTTGGGAATGCATATACTTGTAGGAATCGCACTATCTAAGCCTCTGCACTGACTGGGTTTTCCTATCATTCCTCGCTTGTCCTTCCCCATCAGATGAGAAAGCCTATCTCGCCAAGCATGCTCAGGAGGAAGCCGCCTCCACGTCCAAGGGAGTGGCCGCCGCCCCCACCCAGAGCAAGAACCAGAAGAACTCAGTGGGCAGCACCACCAGCAACGCGGTCAGCAACCAGTGCAAAGAGGCCCTGGCGCCCAACAAGAACCGCAGTAGCTTCTGCGTGGTGGTCTAGTCAGTCCCAACAGGATTCTCCCCTTCTCCTTACTACGTTCATCAGCTCCTTAAAGTGTGTGACAACCGTCTCTCACACTTGTATATGAATGCACGGTAACTCGGTCAGATTCAGTCCTTCCTACTGTTTGTAGATCTTCCTTCTTTGTGGTGGTCAAACATGTCCCGCGTGGCATCACAAAAAAAAAACATAGAGGATCTGTGTGGATCTAGTTGAAAAAGTGCTAAAGATGTTTTATTCACTTATTATGGGTGCTCGTTTCATAATAGTTGGAAAACTGAGTTGGACAAAGATGCTGATGCACACACTCCATAAACTAGCAATAACATGTCTGTGCTACTAATTAACTTGGTCATGCCGGCTTTAGTCAACAGGTCTTTAAAAAAAAAAAGGACTCTGTCATCAGTAGGCTTTGGAAATGCTCCAAAGGAAAAATTGTATCCGAAAACCAGAGAGTTAATCCTGAGAATAAGGATCAAAATTCTAAACTTTGAATAAGGCTGCCAGATGTTTTGGATGGGTATAGTTCAAGTTTGAAAACCATCACAGATTTTTGATGAATTGTTGGTTATTTTTTTTTCAATTTTCAGGGAAAATGCTAAATACATCTCCACATAAAAGGTTGCGCGGGGAGGTAAGGCCCAGACGTCAAGGTTAAACATAGTGTACCAAAGTCAAAATGGTTTTGCTGTACCATTCCATAAGAGTAAGGCCAAACAAATTGTGCCACAGGCTTGCATATTCTAGACCATTCCTTGTATTCTTGCAAGTGAAAATGTGGCTCCTGAATCTGTTGACCAGTTCACGCCGGGATTATTTTGACAAGAACGCCATGAGGCGCGGGATTACTTTTCTCTCAACCTCATGCCGGGCGGGTTGAAGACATCACCCTCGGGCAGCACACTCATATTTCCGGCCTCGCTCGCTGTGAGCGGGTTGCTGACAGATATTTCTGGCCTCGCTCCCTGCGTGTTTATCCGTCATCCGTTCCGAATACCGCAAAACCTTTTGCGGGTATACACGTTATCCGTCGCGAACTGGTAAAGCAACTTTACTTGTCCCCTAATTGAACCTTAAAATATCTGGCAGCCTTATGTTGATCTCAGTTGGCTGATATAGTTCCCAAGAAACATTCTGCCTAGGTTAGGATGTAAAAATAAAAAAAGATAACATCAGCATTTTTAAATAGGTCTTCAGTATTCAAATACAGTATTCACTGTGGTGTGACTAAAACCACACATTCTCCCCAGCCTCAAGTATTAGTAACCAGTTTGTGTTGTCATAGGGTGTTTTTCCGTGTCCAGATGCTTCAACTGGAATGGCCTTTGGTCCAAAAGCAACGTGTTTTGTTTTGTTCCAAAACCAACGATCTTAAACATCATTCTGCTCAATTCGGTTGCAACTGCCTTTCTCGCTTTCATCTCAAATTATCAATTTTTATTTAAAAACTACCACAATAAAACCACCAAAAGCAGGTGTATTTGTGCTCAATGGATCACTTTTTATGAAACTTCGACGTTTACGTGTGTGTGTGTGTGTGCAATAAAACATTATGTTTGGGGTTAAGAAAAGCGGGGGAAAAATTGTTCATATTTCTTTTTATGCAAATTGTACATTCAGATAGCATATTCAGTGAGTAAATGCAAATTCATTATATATATTATAATCTATATCGGTTACGTTTTAAGAGTTGACTGCTTGTGTATCTATAATTTATAATTTATCTTTTTAAAACGTTAGTTTGTTCATTTGAAGAGATTTAAGTTTGATTGTTCACGCCAAGATATCTTCAGCTTGCCATGAGATTTTTTTTTTATAAAATGATTTTGTGATTCTGTGGGAAAGATTACATAATTGTTTAATCAGACTAAGTTGGACTTTACCGGATAAAACAACCTGCCCTCAATTAAAGCGGTAAACTAGCTGATTGGAATCCCACAATTTCTTGTGATTTGTACTTAAGCATCCCACTGCATATTCATGGTGGGAAAACGGAACTTTTCTCTCTTCCTTGAGGTGAATGTACATAAATGAAGCTTTAACGAGAAGGGTTGCCCTGGAAATTGGGACGCCCTCAAAATATCTTAAAGGAGGTGGTAGCAACAGGCCATCGTGAGTGGCTGAGGACTCGGCCCAGTGCTGTATGGCTTGCTTATCCTGTGTTGCGTTAAAGACTTTCTCAGGGTTCACCGTGTTTCACAACTTAACTGTAAATAATGTTAAATAAAATGAAAATGAACTAATTTAAACAAAAAAATAGATATATTTCAGCCGATGTATAGTAGTTGGTTTTTGTGTTCAGGTTTTAAGGAACAAAACGTTGACTGGTTTCGATTAGTTTACACGGCCGGTGTCAAATTTTTTTTTTAAGTTAGCGAAGGATTCAGAAACAGTCGCTCAACTTCTTTCCAAAACAAAAAGACAATCTGGAAAAAAATTGTGCAGATTATAATTTTCCTGATCTGTCTACATCTCCTTTGCAATTTTTGGTGGTTACCACTTCCACCTCGGGAAATTAACTTCGGGTAACTCATGGCGTTTCCTTGATTCAGCCAAAAGCTGGATTCTTCGCTAACTTAAATTTAAAAAAAAAAAAAAAGGCACACGAGCCAGGGTGTTTTTGAAGCACGTTTAATAAATTGAATCTTTTCAACTATAGCTTTGTATGACAAAGAACATGTTCATAAGTGTAATTTATATTATAGTTCTTTCAGATTTACATTTTTTACTAGCAGCTTTTCACAGTTTAGCGAGTCAACACTGTTCATACTATACTGTAATTAAAAAAAAATACGAGTTTAATTACCAAGTGATTTATGCATTAACCGAATGGAGATATGATGGTTATATATTTCCCCAATTTGATGTGCACCAGATAAGTAACAGCATCTGTATGTATTGTAGAGACTGCACATCCCTGTATATCACCGATGGTATCTTCCAAAGCACACGTGTTTGTAGGCAAAGCCAGGAGGCTTAATTATTTAAAAAGGTGATATTTTTTAAAAAGTTGAAGTGTTCATATATTATGCAAGTTTTATCACCCGGCACTGCAGACTAGATTGGAATGCATACATATATATGGCTTGATAGGGATAGCAATTATATATGAAAATTTGATCAGTTTCGATACGGATTGTGTTTTAATTTTTAACACTAGTCCGTTCTCCCAACACCCTTGCTAATAAAATGGACAAATGTGGGCACAGTAGGGTTAGCAAGTTAACACGGCAGTCGCGTAGTGAAGCTTGCGTGATGTGTATGTACTGCTTTCAACTTGGTCTTAATTAGCTGCTGCCACTGTACAAAGTGGAGTATACGATACTTAGTTGTAGGTCATAATATGCATATGTTAGCAAAAAAATTTAACAAATCATTTTTCATTGGTTGCTAAGTGCTGTGACGATATTCCTACTTTCTAACCTGATTGGCCAATTCAATTGCACAATTAAGGGTTAGACTTAGCCCGGTATCTCCACGTATTGATCCCCTATGAGTGGTCGTCTTTTCTGACTATATTTTAGTTCACTTTTACTAGTGAAAAATCGGCAGGCGTGGCAGAAAAAAAAGAAAATTTCAAGCCAATCTCTTGCCAGATGCTTCATGTACAGTGCACGTTATTTCAAGTGAGATACGACAATGGGTATTCCTGTGTGCTTTTCTCAATTTTACAGTATTACTTGAAAATGTCAACCTCATTTTTATTATTTTGGGCATTTTGAGAAAGTATGGAGTGTAAACTAAAAAATCAGCACATTTTTGTGTTGCATACTGCATGGATCATCATCTTGAAGAGTAAGGGGGCTCATTTTTCACAGATTTCTATTTTATGAAAACTGATAATTATTAGGGAAATTAAAAGCAGCTGTTTTGAAAGAAGGCTTTTTTTTTGTTCATTGAAAGTCCGAATTTCAAATTGAATTCTCAAGGTCTTGGTTTAAAATAAAATGCACGATACACCTTTTTCAAATGTCAAGTACTCGATATGATAAAAAATAAATTTCTCTGCTGTAGAATATGCATGTTGTCCCTTTGAGCAGCCTAATCATACAAAATTAGAGAGGAAATATTCCACATAAGTACCCTTGCTGCAAGGAATTGATACATGTTATTCATTGTAATTCACTGTACAAACTTACAGATTTTATAACAGGTAAATTTCAATTGATAATTATAAAATACCATTCGAATATTCAAAGTGGGGTCGGGTCAGTGGTATGATATTGGGGCTTTCATGATGTTTTAGTAAGTTTTTTTTAATATCCAATACCCTCGAAAAAATCTTTGAAAGCCTTGTACAGTTTCATCTTGGCAGTTACTGATGGTTAATTTTTTTACCCATTTGTTAAAATCAATTCAGTAAAACGATTTAAGGCTTTTTTGATATAATTGCTTACAATATGTTACTAGGCCCAGGCATGCTAACGTTAAACCTTGTTGCTTAAAAAAAAAGCGTTTTGTTCTGAAGCTTTTCTTATATTAATCTGTGTTGGCATTGTATTGATTGTTCAGAGAATGAAATAATTATTGATGATGAATACAATATAAATGCAGGTCTGATTTTTTTTTTTTACGATCAATTTTTGCTTGTGTTTTCGTAACTTTTTGATCCAAGCAGACACTGCGACAATATTGATAACATTTTGAATGCAAAAGCAAAAAAAAAGAGAGAAAAATCCCCTGGCCAGTGTTTGTGCAGTTTAACATCGAATATTTGTTCATGTTTTCATTGTGCTGTGGCAGGCATTGATTACATTAAGTATCTTTTTTTCTACAAACAAAACAAAAACTTTGAAAATGTTGTAGATTGGCATCAGATCTGGGCCCAATTTCAAAACAGCAGAAAATTTGTTCCTAGCAAACTTATGCGCTAAGCAACGCTCAGCAGACCAGTCAAGAGCAATAAACATACAGCATTTTGGCTGGTGTTTTCTGGCCTCGGGTCAAAAAATTCACCGTTATGGTATATCATAAGAGGTCCGTTTTCTTCTTGTTCAAAACACAGAAACGTATAGAGTTTCCTTAATTTGAACTAAAATGCCAAATTGAAATCCTCAGTACATCGGCCTAGTGGACCTAAGTACTAGAGTGTCATTATTCACTGGTTCACCACTCGCACCACAATCAGCACTGTTACTAACATTATATTCATGTAAAGATTTCCTTTGTAGCCAGATAACGGTTGAAGTACTATTAACAGAAGGTAACTCATTAAATTATTTTGTTTCTGGTACTTAAAAAAAAACAAAGACTTTTTAATTCCATCCATTAATTAAAACACACCATGTTGCAATATTATACTGCCACATAGTTGCAATAAACTGTTAATTAATTCCTGAAGAAAAATCCAAAGTCTGAATCAATTGGTGTTATTTCTCTCTGGAGTATTGTTGTAAAATGACTGATGTGCAAGCTCATTGTATGGACTCTGTGGACGTATTCTCCCATTAACCCCTTCCAGTGACGTCCCTGCTCACAAATTGTAGTTCCAAAATTTGGCATGACTAAGTTAAATTACTTGCTTTGTAATCTTGAAAGGACATGCCAAGGACTTTAGAGTCTGGTGCTGCAGGCTGCCTTTCCAAAGCACATATTGTTGATGTACCCTAACGTGGCGTGGCACGGTACTGCCCCTTACATGGCGCACTTTGACTTTTCGCCTCTAGTGATTTGCCAGAGCAATATTTTTACCTCAAATTTCACGGTAAGTGAAATTTCATCAAGCTCTAAACATTCCCATTCATAAATCTTGAGTTTACGTACAAAGAACCCTTTGAAAATAATTTTCTGACAAACTTGTAGTTGGGTATGTGAGTGGAGACAATAATGATTTATCAGAATTTATCAACAATTTCCGGACGCCACTGTTTTTGAATTTCGGACTAAATTTCAAGACACTAAAAATGTTCACAACGGTTCAACAGCCAGCATGAATAGGTAACAGTACCAGTATTTAACTGCATGAATTTGAAGTTTGTCAACAAAGAGGTTTGGCAACACTGCATGAGGAAAGTCGGAGGAAAGTCGGGGGAAACCTCGAAGTGCGCCACGTTAGGGAGCACCACTATATACTGCTCTTACAAAACATGTATGTACTATGGACTCAATGAAGGAACACTAGAGCTCGGAGTGTGGCCTTACAGCCAGTACCACTGCAACCTATTTGTTCTGTAGTTGTGTGGACTTCACTCTCCAGTTTTACAAAAGATCTTATGGGGACCAAACAGTTTGTAGGGACACTCGAAAGTCCCCACAATACAGTCCACAGATAAACATTATGCTGACTGAGTACTTATTAAAAAGTTGTGTTCCTTGTCGCAAACCAGATAAAAGATGCAAACGTATTCTCGGGCCACCATATGTTCGGACGGGTGGACTTTCTAACAACCACAGTCGTTAACCTTCACACATTGGCAGGAAACGTCTACTTGGAAGACAACACGCATTCCGTTCTATTTCTTGCTAGAAAGCCTGTGTGTATTGTATTCAGCCACGGCGTCCGAAGATTGTGCTTTATAGAATCTACTGCAGGAAGAGCATCTCAGGAGAAATTCAGAGGAATATGTCTTGGAAATAGTCTTCAAATTCGTCGTCCCTGGAACAAATTGACAAAAAATTAAAGTTAGCAATTGGGATGGAAAAACAATTTTGAGGCCACTATTCAGGTAAGTTCGAATTGGCTTACAAATAAATAATAATTTTAGTATAGCAAAAAGTCGAACCAATTTTCACACAAGGAAGAGTATCTTGTTTAACGGCGTCTACTTTCAACTTGTTCTCAAAAGTACAACAGAGACGAGGAGGGCAAGGAGATGCTACCTAAGACTAGTCCAGATCCCTGGGAATAAGGGTGTCGTAGAATTAAACTGAGGAACTCAAATAGTATCATGTGTTAAGCAGTGCCATGAAATTGCAGATTGCGCCCTTAATTATTCGTCAGTGAATTTTAATTTTAAAGTCTGCACTTAAGAAAATTCTCTGTGGTTATGATTTTTGAGCTATTGATGCTGCACTGATATTTTTCTTTGCTTTTTAAATTCTAGGAATGATAAACTTTAGATGAAGTTGCGTCCAACTAAGTAGATGAGCCAGAAGATGTTTAAAATACCGACTTGGTTTAGTAAAATGGACAGACCTTGATTTATCGTCCACCACAGGTGCGGGCCCGCTCCAAAACTTGCTGTCTGATACACCACTGCTTCCTGCTGCATCTACAATCAATGAAATCAAGATGTCGGATGTGAAATGCACTTCATCATGAAAAACATCCACGCCACTACAGAACTGGGTCTTTTAATTGGTTGCGCCAGAGATGCCACAGTGTCTGCTTGAAAAAACCTGAACTGCCTACCCGAATTTCCAACGTTTATTCGACACGAAACATGCACGATTCCACAACACTGTCGGTGTACATGACCTTTGCACTACGTGATGCCCGTGACGAAAACATGGTTGGTACCCGGCTTTTTTTGTATTCACATATATCACTGCGATTGGAAACTACCGATAACTGAAATGATAGACTTGATTTCCAGGCTGAATGCTACGTGTGCTTAGCACACAACACGCCCGCACGCAGTGCAGCATGCGAGGCGCCATTGTATACTGCGTGCAAGTACGTTGGCCGCCTGTATCGCAGGCTCGGCAACAAAGACTTGTGTTTAAGAAAACTTCAATGAACAACGCTTTGCCGTGCGTGCGCAATCCTTTTAACATGTAGGCCTACTCGAGAGTGCTAACGAGGTAAAAATCAACAAGGAAAAAACGGAATTTTGTGAGATTTTTTTAAAAACCGGAAGTCCGGCTAAAACCGGAAAAGTGGCATCTCTGTTGCGCTCTGGTTTATACAGACATAAATGGTGACCATCCCAACTTCATTAAAATTTGGACCACCCCTGCTACTAATGCTGAAAAAAGCAAATGGTATTAATTTTCATTTCTTTAGATGTATCTACTCCAACCCGTATTAGGCCACTTGTTAAGCACATTTTTTCCCTAAATACGCACACGGCCAAAAACTTCACAGACTGACCACTCCCTGGTGGAAGGTTGCCAGGATTTTTTTTCAGTCACCCAGCTGCCGCAAAATCAAAAAGTGTGTGTGTGTTGGGGGGAGGGGGATGGGCTGGACATCATCTGACATTCGGGCTCACTTCAAAGCCGACGATATTGTCACTATCGGACAATAGGTGGCGATATTACAACCCCGTCTACGCCATGGACTATGCACAGTTGACAGACATGACAGAACAGGGTTGTGTTAATCCATCTATTTTTCGGACAAAATTTGTTCAGGTATGCCGTCTAACCTTGACTTTTACCTTGCGACGATTCTTCCTCCGATTCCTCAGATGATGAGGAAGAAGATGGTGATTCTCTCCTGTGCTTCTTACGATGTTTCTTGTGTTTGTGCTTCTCTTTCCGTCTATGTTTCTGCTTAGATCTCTTGTGTTCTGGAGTGTCCTTCTTGCTGGACGGTCTTTTCATTGGCTGCCGTGTCACGTCACGGCGCTTGTGATGGTAGTTGAGCTTGTAGGAGCACTTGGGACACAATCCTGTTTGAAGAAAAAGTAACAGGAATGATTTGTTTTCTTATAGGCATCTGAGCATGGCCTCTATGCCTTGTTCCATTGTGTCATGTTTTCTGGCGTTCACATCTTTTATACTTATTGCACTAGCGCCATCCAGGGAAGATCTTGCAATTTGTAACAAATTATGACGTAACTTAATCATTTTTAAAATGGACAATTACAGTAATGATCAACGTGATCAATATTGCCCAATTATGGATTATGAAACTTGAAATTCACAGCTTTGTTTTTGCCGCTTATGAAATGCTGTTTTACCCATGAGAACATTGTGAGAGATGTTACCAGATTAAAAATGGTCGGCAGAGCTAAATCAACAGGTTGTGTGACTGATATGAATTTGTACACAAACAGTGATCATAGAAGCTGTGGTTCATCACTGTCCAAGTTAAATAGTTCAAATGTTGTACAGCTACTGCAGGTTTCATGACATCATCTTGTAATGCCTTGCACATCTGCACACAAACTGTATTGTAGAAGACTCAAGCATGGCGAAGCCAACCACCAATTCATGACGTCACAACATAAATTTGGGCATGCAAATTAGCAAACGTTGAACATATCAACACTGGCAAATTTTGCTGCAAATGGACTGGCCTTTAGACAGACTCCTGGTAGCTTTTTGCAGGGCACCAACTCAAAGATATTCCAGTGAAAATTGGTCATGTGTGTCAAGTGGCATACACCTGAAAACTGGTCTCGCACATGGAGCTCTCACGAATGGTCAGACTGCCCAATGTACTATCCATGCACAAAGTCCATGTCATGACTAAGATTACAGTCGAGTACGTACTGAGCTTCACCAGCGCATTCTTTTTCTCGCCGTGTTCAGCGTAGGCAAAGTTGACCTCCCAGCTACGCAGCCCTTCCCGTTCTGCACACCGCTTGTTACCGCAGCTGAAATGACCTTTGCCCTCTGCAACCTCCTTCTCAATTCTCCATCGCAGCGCAATCTGTAATAAAGCATAGAGCAAAGATTTATTGACATTTTAGAGGTAATTTCTCTGGGCATTTTTTTTTTAGTTCTGCCTGCTAGTTAATTGTGGAAGAAACTGTTTTTCAGAATGAAAAATGGACTGACTATAATTTGCACTCTATTTTGTCTCTCAAAAATATTGTTTGCATTATGTATCACATATGAATATACTGTTGGAATTAGCAGTCAGACATTCCTAATTCCACATTTGAAACTTGTTTAAACTATTGCTTTTGTAAACTGACATTTTTTTATTTGGAAAATTCAAATTGGAAAACTTGTAACTTGACCCTCCTATGCAAAGTTACATTCTATGCCAACTAGTCCTTTCAGTCAATCAAGTGACTTTTTTCAACAGTTAAAAATTCCAAGCCTACATAAAGCAGGATTGACTGGCTGGGACTGTTTAAGTAACTTGATACAGCTGTGCTTTGACTCCGGGTGAGTGATTAAACAGCTGTGACCACAACTTGCCTGCTTTGTCTGTTGACCCAGTTTGACTTGTCACAGAGCTTGCTTGACATATGATCTGACTGCTGGTGACTAGCCAAGTATAGCAGGATAAGTGGAAGTGAATAATTTTGACCTTCTGTGACTGATAGCAGGACAGTTTATGGAATCTTTTAAAAGACGAGCACTCTTTTAGAAGATGAACAATTGAATGTAATTTTAAAAAATCTCATGGTGCAACAGCCCAAAAGCACAGACCTTTAACATACAGCACTCTATGGACTCATTAAGTAATAAATACAATGTAAATACAATGTATTACAAATACAATGTAATACAATGTATTACAAATACAATGTAATACAATGTATTACAAATACAATGTAATAAAATGTATTACAAATGCAATGTATTACAGATGCTGATGGGTAGACATGCACCTTGTTTTCCTTGTATCTGCTGAGGTCTGTGATGCAGTACTCCTTGAAGAGTTTATCCCAGTAGCGCTTGGCAAGCTTCTTGGCCCAACTCGTCTCGGCCTCGTCTTTGGGTTCCCACAAGAACCGGTGATTCTCGCGAATCACATCCAAGTCGGTTTTGTCATTTGCACTGGGAAAACAACCAAGAAAAACAAAACAAAAATGGACAAAAAAACCTCAAAATCAATCACGAACAGGAAGTGACTTTGCCGTTCTATTAAAAAAATTGGGCACAATGGTAAGTTGATGTAAACTGAACACCACAAAAAAAAAATCCCATTGGCACTCTAGACCCAAAAATTTCTCAAATCTCATTGTTTTGGACAAAATGGGTGGAAATACAACATCAGTGCCCATTCATTGGTGTCCAAAATTTGAAAATCACTTTGCAAATTTTGTTGGACATTTTATCCCAAGGCTCTAGGTTCAAGCAAGGTTCTAGACATCTTGGAGGTTCAATGGTGTAAACGAAATGTCCTGTGTGTACCTAGATGAACACCATACACTAACCAACCCAGCAGTCAAAATAGATCAGTGGATTTGTTTTAAACAGTTGAGTGCTCCCTTCTCACAAAAAGCAGGATTGACTGTCTGTAATTGATTTAAAACTTGATACAGCTATGCTTTGACTGTAGGAGATTGATAAGCCAGCTGTGACTACCAGTCACCTGCTTTTGTCTGTTGATGGAATACGACTAGTCGCTGTGCCTATAGAAGTAGGATCTGACTGTTGGTAACTAGCCTGCCTAAAAGGCATGGAAGGGGACGTGGAATGAATTTTGGACTGTCTGACTCTGTGACTGATCGAACAAAAGGAGGGTTAGCTAATCCAAGTTGGCCATTACTTTTAACTTTTGTTTTACAGAGACGACGCTTCCACGCTTGAGCACATATCATTTCCAGGGATGTAAGTGGACTGGACTCTAAAATTTTTACCTAAAATTTGAGATATAAAGGTAAACTATACACACATGTATGGTGCCAATATGTTCTTTACAATTGAAAAAAAAAAAACACCTGAAATCAGGCAGGAGGACCTGCATCCCCGTGCCTCCATCTTAAATTCAAGCTGCACATGAGTTTTGGCAAGTTCTGAGCAAGTCATTGAAGGTGAATGCATTGTGTCAAATCTTACCAATGCTAGCTTTGGATGTTTGAAACGTCCCAGTTATGTTGAAACACCATGCGGGCACCTACAGAAGTCCGTATACAAACTTACGTGTTTCTCTTGAACAGCTGTTCCTTAGCGTCTGGGTAGTACAAGAGGTAGTTGTTCACGAGTTCCTTGTGACGTCCATACTGTTCTTACTCATTCAGGAAAACATACATTTCTACATTTCAGCATTGATTTGCTGATGACACCCCCCCCCCCCCCCCCCGTAAAAATTCCTGGATCCGCCCCTGGAACATTAATATGAATCTGATCAATGCAATACAAGCATGTCACCATGTGAAAGCTAAGACTGTAACTCAGAGCACATCACAAAATGATGAATGAATGTTATCAAAGGATACAGCAGTCAGTGCCAGGAAATGAAAGCGTTGGGCTTTACCCTCCTCCCTGTGGGACGAAACGAAAAGAAATAGGCCTACTGAATTCAAAATGCAAAAGAAAGCATTGGATTTTATACATTCATTTTTTCTGAAACCAAACTGGAAATTGTATTTTATAATGTGCAATTCCAATAAGGGAATATATCATACAAAAGCACTTATAATTTGAAGTTGCTAGTGGAATGTCAAGTGTGATTGTGACCCTTCTTAACCTTAACCCCCTAGGCCCTTTTTGGTAGAAACCATCCTCAATCCTCTAAGCTTTTGCACTTATGTTCAAATGAAGGATACCCAGCGCCTCAATCCTACAAAATCGTCACACAGTCCTGCCTCAAAAAATGCGTTCATCCTCAATCCTCCAAAATCCTCCTGTGCTAAAACACCATTCATCTTCAATCCTCCAAAATCCTCCAAAACCGCCATGAGGATTTTGAAGGATTGAGGAGGACCTTATAAACATATATGTACCTGCTATATTCGTCTTGGACTAGACGCTTGGATGGCACAGCAGCTACAGAGCGGCTGCTCTTGGTAGCCAGATCATCTCTAGCCCTAGAAAATAAAGAAAAGTGTGTCAAAGGAAGGAATGGGAATAATAAAGTAAACAGCAAAAGTGCCAAAGAATTTAATAATAATAATAATAACTGGATTTATAGAGCGCCAAATTGCCAAAGGATACAAGGCGCTGAAACAAAGAAAGAAGAACTACAGAAAGAACAACAGAAAAACAACAAGGGCGTACGACCAGCTATGGTGTGGGGAAAAAAAATGGGTTTTGAGAGCCTTCTTGAAGGTTGGCACAGTATCGGAGTTTCTGATAGGGATGGGATTATAATCCAATTAATAATTTAGATTATAAATTAACTGGAATGTATGTTTATGTAGTGCTATCATCTTAGATAAACATACACGTGGATGTTCAATTCGATCTTTATTACTGAATCAAACTTAATGTCACTGAATATTGTTTAATAACCATTCTCTCAACATAGGCGGAATAAACCACCAAACTACCGTACGTGTATTATTCAATGGTGATATGCATGTATATTAAGGCAAACATGTATCCGTCTATTATCAAAACATGGAGTCACATGAACAAGCATTACATTCACTGTGTGGACTTCCGAACAAAAGATGTCAACATAAACCAGGTAGCAGCGACGTTGTGTGGACTTGCCCACGTCCACACAGTGTTTCCCCCTCTCTGGAAAACCTTTTTAGAGGAATTTTTGGGTTAAGTTTATCCGTGGCAAAATGAAGAGAAACACTAAAGGGAATCACAGAAAAAAATATGGGTTGAAAGAGTTTTCACAGTGTGAGTAAAATGAGTTTTTTTCACAGGTTTTTCTTAACTACACGACAACAAAAGCATGTCCACACTAGGTATGTAGCGTAAACGTGTGGTTTCATTTAAGTTTGTGGGATAAAAAAAAATCAAGACAACAAACTTTGCATGCAAAATACACATCACGATTGATTAGCAACAGAACACAGATTTCGCATTTGCGGGTGTGTATATTCAATTTTTCCATTTCCACACATTAAGCATGATACAGTTTTCACGCCACACAGGGTGTTTATATAAATTTTGTGTACCTTTTTCTCTTGTCCTGCTCTTCGTCAAATTCAAACTCGGATCCGTAATCACCCGCATTGTACCCAAACTGCAAATTAAAATTCAATATTTTATTACTCGTCATGTCGTTGTTAGAAGACAATTATTTTGTGTGTATGTGTGTTTTAACACGCACAATAACTAGAGCTTGGAAAACTGCTGGCCCACAGGCAGTTTGATGGGATGGGTGGGTTTTTTTCTGCGAAAGAAGGCCTTTAAAAACATTCCAACCATTTGTCATGTTTGTACTTAGACCCGTAAATGTGGCGTTGATGTCACGCCCCAACTATCGCATCAGTCCCAACTATAGTTGGGCCTGTCCCAACTATAGTTGGGCCAGTCCCAACTGTAGTTCCACAGTTGGGCTGGCCCAACTATAGTTGGGCCTGGCCCAACTATAGTTGGGACGGTCCCATCTGTAAGTTCCACTGTTGGGCTGGCCCATCTATAGCCCCACTATAGTGTGGCCGTCGGTATGCTGCGCTGAACCTCTAGCCACACACCGTGGTACCGCGCGCTACTGAGGACGAAGTTTCATAAAATCTGCGGTCCGTTTCTTACATTCTCAGTTTCTTACTTTCTTATGGTTGTATTCTATGATGTTTCAAATGGAACATCATTAGACCTAAGCATCCCAGAAGTGATAGGTGAAACATCAAAGAATACAACCATAAGAAAGTAAGAAACTGAGAATGTAAAAAACGGACCGCAGATTTTATGAAACTTCGTCCTCAGTAGCGCGCGGTACCACGGTGTGTGGCTAGAGGTTCAGCGCAGCATACCAACGGCCACACTAGTGGGGCTAGCCCATCTATAGTTGGGCCACTCCGATCTTTTTATTTTGCGGTGTCCCAACTATAGTTTACATTGATGTACAACTGTAAAACGTTCCCTACAGCTCTGATACACGTCTGACTTTACTGGGGACCACTGAAATTAGTTATTGATGGGGCGAATCTATAGTTGGGCCACCGCAATATTTTTATTTGGCGGTCCCAACTATAGTTTACATTGATGTACGACGACTATAAAACATTCCCTACAGCTCTGTTACATACTGTCCGACTTTACTTGGGACCTTTGACATTAGCTATGGGTGGGGCCCATCTATAGTTGGCCGGCCATGGCAATCTTTGAATTTTGCAAAATGTTGCTGGACAATCAACCCAGCAGCTGGACAACTCATCCAACTAGGCAGAACCACGTGACCGGCCAGCCTTGCGGCATGCATGCACGACGAATACACGGTGCCAGCGCCGCGGAACATTTAATCCAACAAGATCTATCAAGCATGAAGCATCCGGCGCAACTCCAGTCCTTACTATAGTTGGGCCGACCCAACTGCCGCACTATAGTTGGGACAGGCCCAACTATAGTTGGGACCGATGCGATAGTTGGGGCGTGACATTGATAACAATGCCACACTTCTGAGTCACGTAGAAACACTCGAAATATATCCTCCTAAAAAAATCAATTACGCGACATGTTATTTTTCATGGACATGGTGGATGTTTAGGCCTAGTACTTTCTTATGTCTTTATGAAGCTGTCGGTGAATTAACGTGAGCGTAGTCTTATTTTTGGGCAAAGCCAGATCCTACGCGTAGGATCTGGCGTTGCCCAAAAATAAGAGGCGAAAAAACCCCACATTTTGAGTTGACGGGTACTGTTCACAGAAAGAATGTTGCATTGACAACCTGACGCCACTTTTTCCTTGATTAAAACTAAAAAAGTAAAAGACATATGGATCTGGGACTGAGAAGTGACATGAGTGAGAAATATTTCCAATTTTGTAAGGAAATATAGGGCCTACTTACTTTATCATTTTTTTTACGCAGTGGCTATTGTTACGGCAGCCGTAACGCATTTCCCATTTTCTATCGTTACGGTAGACTGCAACCTGGCAACTTTTATAAAAAAACATGACAAGAAAATATAAAATTAGAAGGAAAAAAGTGAATTTGAACTTTATGAAATTCGGACTTTATTTCCCTTTTAAAAAAAATCCTCCAAAGCCTCAGGTTAGAAAAGGAAAAAAATTCGAGTGCAAAACTGAGATCCGAACCCGCAACCTCGCGGTGCAAAATCCTACCCTCTATCGGCTGAGCTGGCGCACTGCTCGATAAAACGTGTGGAAACAAATAATTATATACCTGCGTGCGTACCAAAAAAATATCGTAGAGGGCGCTAAACAACGAGTGCCGTAACGATAGCCACTTCGTTTTTTTTATGTACTTAAAAAAAGTGGCGTCAGGTTGCAACATTCTTTCCCTGTTCACATTAGAAGGATTAATAACGCTGAATTGTTTTCTTTGTAAAGCATAAACATGTAAAAACCACTATTACGATGAGTTACCTGCTCTGCCAAATTAAAATCCTTCGGCTTCGCCATATCTACATTTGTTTTTTGTATATCTACTCCGAGTCTATAGAGGGCTCCCTTTAAAAAGTAAATTGTAAATCTCTGAATTTTTTCAATAGAGGGCGCTGTCTAAATTTGTAATAGAGGACGCTATCTAATAAGTCAATAGAGGGCGCTATTAATCTAGTCAATAGAGGGCGCTGTTTACTATTTCAACAGAGGGCGCTATTGATTGAACTACAAGCCCTGCAAACTATAGAGGGCGATCTTTGTAACCCGGAAAGCAAAAGTCAAGAGTCGAGTCGAGTGGTACCGAGTCGAGTAGCTCGAAGGGGAGGAGTTCGACAGTTTTGTAGATTTTTTCCAATTAATGAAGTAGAAAATGGGAGATATAGATGCAGTTTATGGTGGAATTGAAGGGTACGTATCATTGAAACTTATTACCAGCCATTTATTATTATAATCAATCACATTCCGTGCTGTCGAGTTACGTTGGCGATACTGTCAGTGTCAAGCATGTCAAGACTCGACTGTCATTGTCACGCCCCAACTATCGCATCGGTCCCAACTATAGTTGGGACTGTCCCAACTATAGTGCGGCAGTTGGGTCGGCCCAACTATAGTTAGGACTGGAGTTGCGCCGGATGCTTCATGCTTGATAGATCTTGTTGGATTAAATGTTCCGCGGCGCTGGCACCGTGTATTCGTCGTGCATGCATGCCGCAAGGCTGGCCGGTCACGTGGTACTGCCTAGTTGGATGAGTTGTCCAGCTGCTGGGTTGATTGTCCAGCAACATTTTGCAAAATTCAAAGATTGCCATGGCCGGCCAACTATAGATGGGCCCCACCCATAGCTAATGTCAAAGGTCCCAAGTAAAGTCGGACAGTATGTAACAGAGCTGTAGGGAATGTTTTATAGTCGTCGTACATCAATGTAAACTATAGTTGGGACCGCCAAATAAAAATATTGCGGTGGCCCAACTACAGATGGTCCCCACCCATAGATAATTTCATTGGTCCCAAGTAAAGTCAGATGTGTATTAGAGTTGTAGGGAATGTTTTATAATCGTACAACAATGTACACTATAGTTGGGACCGCAAAATAAAAAGATTGGAGTGGCCCAACTATAGATTCGCACCATCAATAACTAATTTCAGTGGTCCCCAGTAAAGTCAGACGTGTATCAGAGCTGTAGGGAACGTTTCACAGTTGTACATCAATGTAAACTATAGTTGGGACACCGCAAAATAAAAAGATCGGAGTGGCCCAACTATAGATGGGCCAGTCCAACAGTGGAACTTACAGTTGGGACCGTCCCAACTATAGTTGGGACAGGCCCAACTATAGTTGGGCCAGCCCAACTGTGGAACTACAGTTGGGACAGGCCCAACTATAGTTGGGACCGATGCGATAGTTTGGGCGTGACATCATGACTGTAGGGCCCCTCGGCCCTGTTTAGTTTCTATAAAATTATAGGTATCGTCAGACCGGCCCTAAAACATGTACTCGCATTCAATTTGCGTTGGACAACGCGCTCGCATTGCAAGCGTTACCTTCGCCAATTATGATGACTCGAGGATATGTGACAAAACAAATTAAGTTAGTTGGTTACCACTGCCACACCTATTTGCTTTGTTGGTTACCAATACCAGTGTAAAACCTACATCCTTGAAAAGATCTTGAAGAGAACTTTATAATGAAACAAAGATCTTTTTCCTTGGACAAATATGAAGCCAGGAAGTTATGCAAATTTGAAAGTGGAAAATTTGTTATTAATTTTGCCCCATGTTTCAATGGGAAAAGTGTGACCACTTTTCTTGATTTTCACAGAAAAAGTACTTCAATTTGTTACAACTTAAAAAAAGGATGGCAAAATGAAGTATGAATTAACGAAGTGGCTATCATTACGGCAGCCGTTGTTTAGTGCCCTCTACGATACTTTTTTGATACGCACGCAGGTATATAATTATTTGTTTTCCCACGTTTCAGCGAGCAGTGCGACAGCTCAGTCGATAGAGGGTAGGATTTTGCACCGCGAGGTTGCGGGTTTGCATCTCAGTTTTGCTCTCGAATTTTTTTCCTTTTCTAACCTGAGGCTTTGGAGGATTTTTTTTAAAAGTCAAATAAAGTCCGAATTTCATAACGTTCAAATTCACTTTTTTCCTTCTAATTTTATATTTTCTTCTCATGTTTTTATAAAAGTTGCAGTCTACCGTAACGATAGAAAATGGGAAATGCGTTACGGCTGCCGTAACAATAGCCACTGCGAGGAATTAATTTCCTCCAAAAATTGTTTAACTTTAATTGAACTATAAATTAAAGTACCAAATGTAAACAGTGCAACCTAGTACTGAGGTTACTAACAACTCTTAGCCAATCAGATGGCGATAAGTAGGTCACATGATCTGTACTGCGATGTTAGGCCAAAAAAATAATACTTCTGCTTCCGGTCACCCGACCGACCCTATTTTTAGGCTGCGACCCTATAAATTTTATCAGCAATTCCAAAAAAAAAAAATTATAATAATGATTGAATAAATAAAAATAAAATCTTGTTGTCTTTTTGGTCTTCACAAATTACCTCTCAACAACCCTTTTGTGTTAAAAATGCTTGTATTTATTTGTTTTCTTACTTACATTCGCTATTTTTTTCAAAAGAAACCTCCGTTATTTTTACAAATTCGCTTCGCGATATAACTACTTCGCAATTCGATGTCAAGGTGACTATAATCACGTGCGTAAACCTAGCTCAATGCAGCGAAGACTGGTTCCCACCGTGCCGCGCAGGGGCCAATTTAGAAGACATGATGAAAATGCTAGTCTGTGCATGGCTATGCAATCGATAGTGCTAGCATGGCTATGCATTGCGGGCACGTGCACTGTCAACTGGTCGGATTCGACATCATAAAAATGCCAAGAAAACACCGATGGAGTACAAACATTTTTGAAAGTTAATTCACAGAATTGATCTAGCTTGTCTGTGTATGTATTTTCCGTGTTCAAGAGTTCATTATGAGATTGCACTACTCGTATTTGGAGTGATACATGCAGCGTGCTTCCCGAAATTTTCGACCGTAAAAACGAGGTCTGTCGGCCGCGCGCCACACATGCACAGTGCATCACACACTTCGGAGTTTTGGCCAGCTTCCCGTCTTGACTAGCGTTGTGCATATGGTGCGAATGACCTGAATTTTCCATAAATTTTAAAGAATTATCGAACGTAAATATATTGACAATAATTAAGGTAGGTTTTATTCACTTTTTGTGGCCATTTTGTGTATAGCTTTCGTAGTCCAATGGCATTAGTTCAGGCTAAAACTTCGCATATAATTGAATACCCGATTCAATCTGCATAAAAAAAATTTGCAAAAAAAATTAAAAATTCCGACCGACCGACCCTATTTTTGAAAGGCATGTATCGGAAGCAGATTTGACCTGTCCAGGTCCAATGACCTGACCAGCGATTGAGATCGTATGATGAGCAAAAAATATAGGCAAAATTATCCATCTATGATCCACTTCATAAAACAATCATTTCAATAAAAAATCTTTCTGTTCAGTTTAGGGGTTTTCTGTTCAAATTGTGAACTCAAAATTTCCTTATTGAAAACATTTGTGAGAAAGGTTTGCTCATTGGCTTACTGCCCTGTACTGACCCAACAACGAATCACCAAAGAAAGGAACATTTACAACAACAAAACATCCTAACTTCTAGCAACTTTTTGTGCTGAAATAGCTGTAACATTGAGGATTCTGCCCTACATGACATCACAGTTTTGCTCATGTTTACATGGACATTTGCATTAGCATAAAAAAACAACAAGAAAAAAGGCACCAAAATACCCTTCAAAATGGCAAAACGAAAATTGAAAATGCGGTTAAAACATTACTTTGTCTGGGCCCTTTAATCTGAACGTATTTGTTTTATTTGTAGGGGAGCCACACATTCCAAGATGGTTCTGATGAAAGGTGATGGATCCATTCTGGCTTGGTCAGCAGGGCCCAGCACAAATCACTGGGTACGTACAGTTTTTGTAATTATTTTAGCTGTTGCTCTTTGACTGTATTTTTGTCTCGCCTGAACTTTGTTCAGGAAGGAGACTATGCAATCACTTTGTAGTATACTGGTACATACATGTACATGTGTGAGTATTTTGGTTAAAGTTTCGTAAAATTGGTCTCATTTCAAAATTTAAAGTCCAATTGGAACCAAACAAGTTTCTAAGATGCAACATGGTAACCTTCATATGATAATGATGTCAAAGGTCATATACCAAGTTCAAAGGTCATCTGAGGTCAAGTTGTAAAATAGGCTGAAAATGTAAAATTGGTCTCAATTGGAAAGTTGAAGTCCAATTGGAACCAAACTTGGGTCATAGATGCAGCATGGCAACCTTTGTACTGATTAGTCACTCTTTAAAGATAATCACGAAAGCAGACGAGAAGCATGGTTCCAGAACCATCTTGTTTTACTAGGCAGTGAGATATTACCAGTACCATACGCATAGAATGCATTGGAGGATGTAAACCCCAATCAGCAAAGACTCCAACCGAAGTGACTTTTAGAGAGATCCTTTGCTCGGCAAACTGTGGCTCCACCCTTGTAGTAATGGGAGACTTTTGAGACTTTGGTGGCAGCAAACACACCGATCCTTTTTCCATTGTTTGTGTTATGTTGAGCATGCGCGCTTTAGCTTAAAACATGAGGTAAATAATTAATAAGGAGTGGACCGGTGTGTTTGATGCCAACAACGTCTCAAAAGTCTCCCATTCTGCGCGGTGTATACATGTTTATATAACTGACATGTATACAGATCCTTGTCATTTGATTGGTGGCATGCACATCACGTAACATTCGTTATTGCTCCTGCTCCCATTCATGCAGGGGCTCAAAAAGACCAATTCACCCATGGGGAATGGGATTTACTATTCAACAGTTAGGATCATCCTTGTTCCATGGTGCGGTATTTGTGTGCAAATGCATGCTTGTGTGAGCGTTGCGCATAGCGCGTATTGTTCCCAAGAGCCAGTAGCTACAGAGTTGGGTTCAAACATTTCGTGAAGCGGTGGTTTGGAAGAGAGAAATACATTTCCCACCAATTTTGTATTGAAATAGATGTACATTTTAACTGTGAATCAAATGACAAGGATGTGAAACAAATATTTAGGGGCTATAAATTGAGAAATGGGAGGAATATTATTGCTCGGTAAAATCTGGACTTTCCTATTTTTCGCCTTGTTAAATAGAAAAGTTCAGATTTTACCTTGCGATAATATTCCTCCCATTCCACTCTGAGCCACTTAATATTTATATAATAGAGCATTTTCTATACTAAGGCAATTACTTAAATGTTGTGGAGAGTATTTTACATTCTTACTCTGCTGCCAGGTTAACCTTAAGATGGGAGTTAAACATCCTAAAGCAGTAACATTCAAGAAACAGACTGATACCCACTCAACCACAGTGCTTAGCCAATGTGCTCGCTACACATTAAAATTCTGCTTGGGTCAATGTGACATGTGCTTCCTTGTTTTGTTTTTCTTTATTTAGTTGATAGGAGTTGACCAGTGTTTAATCAACATCAATGACATGGCTGTCAAAGCAAAGACGGAAGCTGGACTGGATGTCAACAAGCCTCTCAAGTCACTGGTAAACACAACTGCACTGCATAAATAAAAACTCATGGATTTTTATTTTTGAAGACCTGACTTAGGCCGCCCAAAAAGACTTTGTAAATTACATGCAGTTCCACATGCCAAACTTTCTTGAATTATTCAAGGTGTAATTGTGCAAGAAAATGTTGGGCAAGTGAAGTTACCCACGTATAATGGGCTTGTGCAAAAAACTTATTGAAAATACTTACTGATGACAGAGTTAGTTTGGAGATGTTTTGAGAAGCAAAAAATATATTGTAGGTTCAAAACCAGGTAGTTCAAAGTAGTGTTGGCATTGGGTCGGGTTGACCAGGCCAAACCGACCTGAAACATATAGATATAATGCGAATCCGAACCGAAACCGATCTGAACTCCCTAAAACTGACCTGACCCGATCCGACAAAAAATCAAGGAATTTAACCGACACGAACCGACCCGAAACCGAACCGACACTAAAAAAACCCCAAATATCTGGCTTGGACAACTGCGTCCGCTTTTACCCGCGTCACTTGAAAATTGTCATTTGTACTCACAATGTGACCTACTGGTGGGCCTACATGTTATGGACCGTATGTGATAGACCGCAAACCACATTTGGTCGTACCAGGCACACTGACTCTGCAATAAATATTGCACTGTGTGATTTTCCCAACTGTTTCATTTTTTTCCTGGTATATTTCGGGTTTTTCCAAAATGGCTTAACTGACCCGACCCAACCCGAAAATCGCAAATGCAAAACCAAAACTGACCCAAACCTGACTGAAATAATGGTCATACCAACCTGACCCGAAGTCGGTTTCGGGTCTAGTCGTTTTTGGGTCGGGTTTGCACAACACTAGTTCAAAGATAATTTGAACTTGCTTAAATGTCCATGAGCAAGTACTTTACACCAATTTATTCTTGCAATTACATTTAAACAGAACCTGCGTGGACAGAAGAGGAGTTACAGTTGGTATTTATAAAGCAGTTGTGCTTTAAGTCATAGCAAGGGTTTAGGCCTACTCTTATTCACTGTTCGCCCTTCTGTCTCAGGGTCTGTCACTCAGCGGTGGGGAGCAAGAAGGGGGCAAGCGAAGGGTTATCGAAGGAATGAAAAACACCTTCCCCAATGTCAGTGATGCATACCATATGTGTACAGACACATTTGGGGCCATAGCCACAGCATGTGAAGCTGGTGAGTTTCTTTCATTCTGATAAGCAGATACATGAAGTTCTAGTCTTTCTTGTGTTTTTTTTTATTTTTCCTTTTTAAGTCTTCTGCAAGTACGACTGTCGTAAAAGTCAGTCAGAATTGCATTCAACTGTCGTATATCTCAGAGAATGTCTGGTAAATCAGAACTACGTGTACATTTCTATTTACTATGCATGTGGAATTTTCATATAATTATTCATGTGTAACTTTCAGTAAAGGCCAGTTCATACTTGGTACGAATGCGAACGCAAACAAATATAAAGTATTCAGGCTGTGAAATTGCAAAAGTCAAACACATTTCAAACTCCCGTGAATTTGGCAGTGAATGTATTATGATGTCAAATTCACTTCACATTTGCATTCACTTCACATTTGCATTCACCGTAGGAGGTATCGTGCTCATTAGTGGGACGGGTTCTAACTGTCAGCTAATCAACTCGGATGGTAAGAACCACGGCTGTGGAGGCTGGGGCCATCAGATCGGAGATGAAGGAAGTGGTGAGTCTGGTTTTTGCTCTAAAAACCTGTAATGTGATCTCTTAACGTAATCTGTTCACAATCACATATTTTTAGCACTGTCGTCAATTTTAGCAAACAAGTACCGACATTTGTGCAAGTATTAAGACACAAATACTGCACGGATGAATTTAATGATTTTGTGATTGTGCTTGTTTGTGGTTGTGCTTGTTTGTTTGTGTACACAGCGTACTGGATCTCAGCCAAAGCTGTCAAGATCGTCTTGGATCAGGAAGACAACTTAGTGGATCCTCCTCACGATGTTAGCTATGTCAAGAAAGCCATGCACACGTTCTTTGGGGTGGGTCTCTTTGATTTTCTGGAAAGAATTGCTAATTGTATAGAAGGTATTTGTTGTGTGGGTATTTCATTTTGTAGACGGCATTATTGATCTGTCAATGTGCTGATGATCTGTAGATTGTGTAAAGCCCGCCGCATACCTTTTTTATTTTACCGGTTCACCGGATTATCGGGCCATCTGACGTGCAGATTGGAGAGGTGTGCCCTGAAAAATTAGCAATCTGACCGTACACTGGGCGACAGGATGAAATCAAACATGTTTTCACTGGACGTGATATTTACGTTAACCAATTGGATTCACAAAGGAAGTCACATGATTCAAAATTGACAACTGCCATTTTGAGTTGTAACGAGTCACTGACCATTGTGACTCGAGTCTAGACGAGTCATTTTAAAGAAGTGACTCGAGTCGAGTCAAGTCATTGGGTCAAGAAGGTCAAGGCGAGTCGAGCCACAGTGTGTAGTTGAGTCGAGTCGAGTCGAGTCAAGTACCGGTATTTAGCGCGAGTCAATTCGAGTCGCAAATATTTGAACACTATGCACTAGACATAAACACAAGAGAAAATGTAATTTTGTTGGCTTTTTTGATTTTACGTTTGGGCTACTAGATGTGGTGACACCACATATGACCCCTAATGAAAATAAAAAGGGGGTGCCAGCTGATCGCCATCCAACTAATGGGGACACTGATCAAACCACGTAGGTATATGTATACATTATTCGCAAACATTCTAACGTGACGTGAACAAAAACCGGCACCGGCGTAAGTCATTGCAAATATTTTTCGCAAAGTTTTGCTTTTATTTTTGGGACTCGAGTCTTATTAGCCTTCCTCGAGTTGAGTCGAGTCATTCTGATGAGGGACTCGAGTCGAGTCAAGTCATTTGCTCGCAGTGACTCAAGTCGAGTCATTTGCTCTTAGCACCAAACATAGTGACTCCCGTCGGACTCGAGTCATTACAACTCTGTCATGTGACTGATCATCATGTGACCGATTACAGAACGGAATCGGGCATGTGTGTGGGTGACGTTGCGGTCTCCGCAATGTCCCCAGTGAAAAATAATCGAACCGGTGAACCGGTGAAATAGGAAAGGTTTGCGGCAGACTTTAGCTATTCATGGAGTTTGACTTTCAGAGAATATATTTTATTTGTGGAATGTAATATTTATAATGGTTGATAACTGACCAGTGAGTTCAAGGTGCGTAAATATTGCTGTTAAGACATCCCATATTAGTAAGGCATAAATCAGTGGCAGTAATATCAAGTGAATTGACACGATGATCCTTTATGAGTATAAATTATGATCGTGTCATCAGTATTATAATTATTTGCAATTTATAACAGTACACACTGTCGGGTCTTAGTACTCAATGTGAATGTGAATGCATTGACATGTGAACTCTTGTTAAAAACAACCTGAGCAATATGTTTTTGTTTGTTTTAATCGTTGAAGGTATCAGAAAGTTTTGGTCTCCTCGATCACTTCTACACCAACTTCAACAAGCCCAAGTTTGCCAAATTCTGCATAGTCCTAGCCCAAGGTAGGTCAATAGCCACATATTGGAAGTCTAGTTTTACAGCCTGCCGAGTTCATAAGTTGACAAATGTTCACATTTTCTTGTACTGCAACATTTTTTTACACTCAACCTTACCCTCTGTGAGTAATCCCCAATTGCCATTATGCATGTTTGCAGCATTTTTAATGTTGCTAGCATCTGGACTTTGGGCGTGATACTTTGTCACGTGCCAGTTTATGGTTTCTGACTTTTTAACAGTCATGGTACATACATTGTAATATCCACTTAATTGGTAGATCATCAGTACAATTTTCTTGAAATCACAGGTTTAATTCCCGCTTTAGACGATTTTTTAGTTCAAACTTACATCGGCCATGTCGTGTTCAGAGTTGGCAAGTCCATCCCAAGTCCATCACGAGTCCATCACGAGTCCATCACAAGTCCATCACAAGTCCATCACATGTCCATCACATGTCCATCACAAGTCCATCACATGTCCGTCACATGTCCATCACATGTCAATCACAAGTCCATCACAAGTCCATCATAAGTCCATCACATGTCCATCACAAGTCCATCACATGTCCATCACATGTCCATCACAAGTCCATCACAAGTCCATCACATGTCAATCACAAGTCCATCACAAGTCCATCGCAAGCCCATCGCAAGTCCATCACAACTCCCAATTCAAATCACATTAACAGTGAAAAAGGCATATTGCTTTATCGTTCATCATTTTTAACTTGTGACCAAACTCATGAATGGACTTATGAATGACTTATGACTGGAGTTGCGATTGCACTTCTGATAGACTCGACTAAAACGCAAGTTTTGTTTAACTAAGTAATAAGATTTTTTTTTTAATTTGAAGTTTATTCCGCTCTTTTATTCAGGTGCTGCTGAAGCAAAGGACCCCCTGTGCATGTGGTTATTCCGAGAAGCAGGCCGGGTCCTTGGCCGCCATATTCTTGCCGTCGCACCCAAGATTGATAAGGTAAAACATTCCAAATATCATCCAAGTCAGCAATTTAAACCTTGCAAACGGAGAAGCATACCCTACCAGAACCAAATGATGCCAAACTAAGCAAGTTTTATCAGTTGTATTCGATGCTGTATGAGATCTCACCAAAAAAAATTCGCAAGCGTACTTTGGTAGGATCCGAACCCACAACCTCCTGCTTACCAGTGTAGTCAACTATTGAAAACTATTGAAAACAAACAATGAAAACGAATAAAACTGCTGCAAACTGTTCTCTGACTGGATGGACCTGGAATATGCAAATCAATCAAATTAGGACGGACTGACGTTGCGATCTTAACAAGATGTTCTTCAGAGTTAAACAACAGCTTAAAACAAAAATGTCTGAATTGTCTATATTTTATTTCATGTAATTGTAATGTGCATGTTTTATTTTTGTGTTCTTTGTTTTTGTAGACGCTTCTTGATGGGCCCAGTGGTATGGTTGTCGTCTGCGTTGGTTCTGTTTGGAAAAGCTGGGAGATCCTTAAAGAAGGTACGTCTAGCTTGCAAAGTGGAATGGCAGGAATGCTGATGCCTTTTGATTATATCCATGTCGTAGTCAAGTCTGCCGTGTCAGCATTACACCTCCATTCCTTAATACCTTTAAATCTGAATAACTGCTGAATAGGAATAGGATTATTTCAATTATACCATATAAAGATAGTATTTTGTTGATACCGAACAATACTGAATGACATTGTCAAAATAACATCGACCTTGGTATGGAATTACTGTGATATTTCCTCATAAATGTGACCAGATGTGTGCAAAAGCCCACATCTGGTGACAGGTGACGGAAACAACTTGCTCAGATGTGCACTTTATTGATAATTGATTTAAATTGCTTGCGGTCATGGTATTTAGATAAAGTGAAAACTGTGCTTACTAGTCATCCGCCAGGGCCTTTGTAGTTTTGCTCATGCTGGCTGTTTGCAGTTTTCCTAACACCCCATATGCATTGGCGGAATCGGGGGGGGGGGGGGGGGGGGGGGGGGGGGGGGGGGGGGGGGGGGGCAACTGGGCCACCCCGAAAAATTATGTTCTGTATCCGCCCTTGCACATATATCTTATTGTATTTTGATGACATTTTAGTCCTCCCAGAAAAGTATCTGATAATACCTATTTTCTTCAAGTAAACTTGTATCCCCGATTCTGATTGGTCGATCCATGGCAACAACAGTGTGATATGAGGCTGTATTGCACGGTCCATATCGCACCCTGCGTATTGCGCTATTCCAAGATGCGAGCGACATTCCAGCTGCATGCGCTAAACCGCTAAAAGGTTTGTGTAAAGCGATGGTCCAACTTTACTGCGCGTCAAGTTTGCTTGAAGATAAATTCGTTATCACGCTCGCGCTCGTGGAACACGGAAAATGTAGCGCGTTTGTGTCCCACATACCACAGACGCACTACATTATTCCGTGTTCCACTCGCGCTCGCGGGATAACTTATAATACAGTACAGAGTGTGCCAAAAACAAAAGTGCAACATTGAGAAAACAAATAATTGTTGGGCCACTCTCCCCTGCGAAGTCAGCAACTTTAATGCCTATTTACTTAAGATTCAGCATGTCCAGGTGAGAGTGGCCTGAGTAAAATTTACACCCTTTCACTTCATTGATTGTATTTCTGGATCTAGGAAATGGAATGGGGTAAAAAGGAGTGGATTGAGAAATACGCAGGCTGTAATGTAATATATAATTTCATTAAAGAAAAGAAAACATTAAACAGTTTTAATTATTTGCTTTCTGAATGTTGCACTTTTTTGGTACACTCTGTATGCCGTTGACTCTCAAAATCCAATACCGCACAAGGCTATCGCTGAGTAATCAAAACTGAATAACTGCTGAATTGTAATCTCTAAAATTCTAGGTTTCTTGGAGGGTTTGAAGCCACGTCATGACAGAGACGTCGACATCAAGCATTTGACGTTAGTCAGCCTCCTGCAGTCTTCGGCCATCGGAGCAGCGCGGCTCGGCGCCAAGTCTGTCCAGTTCACCTTGCCCATTGACTTCAAGGCCAACGTCAACGAGTTCTTCAGCTATCAACAGTAGAGTGTGGCATACAGTAGGGGTTGCTATACCTCATACATATTCATGAGCTGATATATAACTGGTCAATAGACCTGAGATGTAATGGCGTTGCTCTTGGTTTACGCGTGCGTTTTCTTATGGGAGCTAGGTGGTGGCTCCCATAAAAAAGTGCACATACAAAATGAGACGTCATGTCTCGGGGCTATATTCACCATTACGTGCTAACTAGCTGAGGTTATTTTCTACGTACCAGCGTAGCGAAGGGAAATCTGTGCGATAGATGTATGTGCTTGGGTATTAACACTGTCGTACATGTAGCGACTTGAAGATATGGTGGCCTCTATATAGTGAATAAACTGCATATTATATAACAGTGTAATTACATGGTTTATTTCAGGTGGGCAGTCAAAAATTAGGTCCCTAGAGTATATTAGTAAAATCATGTACTGCAAGTAGTAGAGAGAGTAACACAGACCAATGTATTCCTGAAGTGCTAGGATTTATTGTCAAAATTGTTTTAAATTGCTGTTTTACTCAAAATGTGCACAAAGACATAGTGTCTTCGTGCGAGCATCAGGCGCAATCGGCAATGCATTTTGAATGCCCCTCCCAGTGGCCTCTCCCAACTCTCCTTTTTTGAACCATTGAGGAGGTACTTGTGCCCAGAGTCCATGGACTTGTACTCATGCTTGATGTGTGTGATATTTAACAATTGTTGACTGCTGTGGTGTGGGATATGTTTTGATGCCCCGAGTGTGTTCAAAACCTCATATCCCATATCACAGCAGTCAAGAATTGTTTTGTGATACCTCTGTCTTGGATTCTTTGTTTTAATGAGAAAATTGCGAAAACAAACATCAGTTAACACAATCATGACAATCGAACGTCAATACACATGCATGTCGCCTGCTCAAAACAGCTGATTGTCTGCTAGTTCGCTGCTCCCACTCATGTGTGAAAACATGGTGAAAATAGCGTGGGTACCAACGATATAAGCGTTCCACACCGCGCTGTACGTACAGTACGTACAAAGTCATAGCACACTCCCTGATCTGGGATATCACGTACGTGATACCCCACAGGGAGTGTGCCATGACTTTTTTGTTAACTTAACTCGTGATCGTTCTAGGCCAATGAACAGACAGTATAACAAGGTATAACAAAAGTGGGAAAATGGGTTTGGATTGATCGGGTATATCTCACAACTCAGAATGTACTGTTTCACCGATAAACATTCCCCTTTGCAAAAAGTAAATTCCTGTTTAAAAATGAATTCATTAGTTCTGGGTGTGGGTGGAACAAGTTGTGCAGTACGTTTGAATAAGTCTTGCCCTAATGTACATGTATATTGTTGAATATGAAATATCGCCCACTCATGGGTGTCGCGAGGCAGTTCAATAAGAATATTTGTCATGCCATATGTTATCAGCAGTGAATGTGTCTTATAGATGAGGCTGGTATTTTTTCTGCTGGGGGGGTATTGGTGTTGGGTTGGAAAACATATTTCTAACGGTAAAGGAGAAGTGATTAGTCGTTCAATTATAACGATACACTAGCATCCTGTCCATTGCTTTTAGATCATCCTAATTCTGCAGGAAACATTTCAGAGAATAATCTTAAACTACTATATTGGCCAGTTATTGAAGATACCATTGGCCAGTTATTGAAGATGCCATAGCAAAACTGTTATCATTTTGACATAGTGTATTTGCAGTATTTACTGTTTTAGTTGATCTGTAGCCAACTAAACATTGATACTATTCTCAAGAACTGATAGTTATTGAGGATGTAAAAAGTTTGTTTCCCAAAGAAATACTTCTGCGGTAGAACGCTTTCCTTTTTTCTTTTTCTTTTTAAAACTAGACTCAAAATTTGTATTTGTTCTTTCATAATGTGCATTACACAAAAGTAGGTACAAAGTTATTCTCTTGCAGACTTAAAAGTACAGTATTAATATGAAGGAAAAAGTTTTGGATGGTTTAACTCTTTCGCTACGGCGAGCCGCTGACGGCGGCTCATACAAATTGTACAGGTCGTACGGAGAGCCGCTGGCAGCGGCTCGGTTGCGTCGCTGTGAATAAACAGGGTGTCCCCATGACGTGGGCCATATCTACATAATTTATATCGTATAACCTCTGACCCTAGTTTGAGCCGCTGCCAGCGGCTCTCCGTCTGGCCGGGGTGCGCTTTTTGTTATTGTGAGCAGTTTGTTTACGGAGATACATTCAAAGATGGCGGCGCCCACATCGACGCTCGGCGGATTTTTCAGCTTTGAATTACGTCCAGTTGGGACGAAAAAGGTAAATTAAATTCCGTAGCGAAAGAGTTAAATTTTGATATTAGTTTGTCATGGAATATTATGGTCTGATGATTGTAATGCAAAAATCATGCCATATCAAGCTTCAAAATGTCCGTTGGAATTCCTGCTGCAGGAAAGACAATATTGGTGTCCTTAAGCATGACACTTTACTGTGACTTGTGTCTGTGCAATGGAAAATGAGCATATACAAGGTCCTGGATTGCTATTTGTCGATGATTGACAACAACTAAAAAGGCCCTAATTTGGGGTTTCCGTATACGTATTGCATTCACGATTCATACATGCTTGCTTTCCAAGAGCGTGTGAAAAAAACGTGTGCGAGCATGCCCAGGTGGGACTCGAACCCACAACGTTCTGTTGATACTCACAATTTGTACCAAAAAAAAGCACTGAGCATGCAGTACTTAATATATTACATTAGTGATGGGCAAAAGTATATTGCAATCTATATGTGATGTGATCAAGCTAAATGAGTCATTTGTTGACCCTGGTCAATTTTTTTTACAGTTTTGAAAAGAGCAATCTCAGCATTATTGATGTGAAAACCGCATGCTGATACCATCTTTAGTTAAAAAAATTATGGAAGTCGGAACATCAAGAGATGTGATGAAGTGATGTAATGAAGTGGCCCTATGTTGGCCTGAATCTCCAAATGAAAGTTCCCGACAAACGACTCATGTAGCTTTGATCGCATCACATATATCCTTGGCCTAAAAAAAGGTCATGTGCTGAGAATTAACAAGGCTGTAGTAAATGTTTGTTCATGAAATTAAGAGGAAGTCACAATAATTCAAATATTATACTGATACTCGGCTTTATATGTGAAATAATGTGCTGTGTTATTTTTTTTTTTATCGTGATTATCTTTTCTACTCTTTTGCTGATACTAATATATTTTTGTGGTATTTTTCTGGAAATTTTTAGTAATTGATATTCAACAACGCTGTATTTTGTAAGCAGTATTCAGAGTTATGATTATGTATGCAGATATTCTGTGTCATTCAAATGTAACATGATTTTCAATTATTGTGCACAGACCAGTCCTGTGAACTGCCAATCAATCCCAAAGGATATTTTCTTGGTTAATTTTCAATGAAATTATGTAAATTGTATGCAGTTAACTGTAAATCACAGCTGTTCTGATTAAATGACCAGTCACATGACCAGCTGCATGAGTCTCATGACTAGTCACATGAGGTACCGCAAACCTCTAGGGGCGATCATTTTGCAATAACGGTCTCCCCTTGAGGTAGTACCGCAAACCTCTAGGGGCGATCATTTTTCAATAACAGTCGCCTATTTTGCAATAACGGTCACCCCTAGAGAAGGTACCACACCTCTAGGGGCGATCATTTTCCAATAACAGTCGCCTATTTTGCAATAACGGTCACCCCTAGAGAAGGTACCACACCTCTAGGGGCGATCATTTTGTAATAACGGTGGCCCCTAGAGGTACCGCACACCTCTAGGGGCAATCATTTTGCAAGGCTAACCCCTTACATTTGTTAATTTCCATAAAAAGTCAAATTTTGCCCAATTTTGATAAAAATGCAAGGCTAACCCCTTACATTTGTTAATTTCCCCAAAACATCAAATTTTATCTAATTTTGATAAAAATGCAAGGCTAACCCCTTACCATTTGTTAATATCCCCAAAACATCAAATTGTATCCAATTTTGATGAAAATGCAAGGCTAACCCCTTTACATTCATTAATTTCCAGAAAAAAGTCAAATTTTGCCCAATTTTGAGAAAAATGCAAGGCTAACCCCTTACATTTGTTAATTTCTACAAAAAGTCAAATTTTGCCCAATTTTGATAAAAATGCAAGGCTATCCCCTTACCATTTGTTAATTTCCCAAAAACATCAAATTTTATCCAATTTTGATGAAAATGCAAGGCTAACCCCTTACATTTGTTAATTTCCATAAAAAGTCAAATTGTATCTAATTTTGATGAAAATGCAAAGCTTACCCCTTACATTTGTTAATATCCATAAAAAGTCAAATTTTGCCCAATTTGGATAAAAATGCAAGGCTAACCCCTTACATTTGTTAATTTCCAGAAAAAGTCAAATTTGGCCCAATTTTGATAAAAATGCAAGGCTAACCCCTTACATTTGTTAATTTCTACAAAAAGTCAAATTTTGCCCAATTTTGATAAAAATGCAAGGCTATCCCCTTACCATTTGTTAATTTCCCAAAAACATCAAATTTTATCCAATTTTGATGAAAATGCAAGGCTAACCCCTTACATTTGTTAATTTCCATAAAAAGTCAAATTGTATCTAATTTTGATGAAAATGCAAAGCTTACCCCTTACTTTTGTTAATTTCCCAAAAACATCAAATTTTATCCAATTTTGATGAAAATGCAAGGCTAACCCCTTACATTTGTTAATTTCCATAAAAAGTCAAATTGTATCTAATTTTGATGAAAATGCAAAGCTTACCCCTTACTTTTGTTAATTTCTAGAAAAAGTCAAATTTTGCCAAATTTTGATAAAAATGCAAGGCTAACCCCTTACATTTGTTAATTTCTAGAAAAAGTCAAATTTTGCCCAAGTTTGATAAAAATGCAAGGCTAACCCCTTACATTTGTTAATTTCTAGAAAAAGTCAAATTTTGCCCAATTTTGATAAAAATGCAAGGCTAACCCCTTACATTTGTTAATATCCATAAAAAGTCAAATTTTGCCCAATTTGGATAAAAATGCAAGGCTAACCCCTTACATTTGTTAATTTCCATAAAAAGTCAAATTTGGCCCAATTTTGATAAAAATGCAAGGCTAACCCCTTACATTTGTTAATTTCTACAAAAAGTCAAATTTTGCCCAATTTTGATAAAAATGCAAGGCTATCCCCTTACCATTTGTTAATTTCCCAAAAACACCAAATTTTATCCAATTTTGATGAAAATGCAAGGCTAACCCCTTACATTTGTTAATTTCCATAAAAAGTCAAATTGTATCTAATTTTGATGAAAATGCAAAGCTTACCCCTTACTTTTGTTAATTTCTAGAAAAAGTCAAATTTTGCCAAATTTTGATAAAAATGCAAGGCTAACCCCTTAAATTTGTGAATTTTTAGAAAAGTCGAATTTTTCCCAATTTTGATAAAAATGCAAGGCTAACCCCTTACATTTGTTAATTTCTAGAAAAGGTCAAATTTTGATAAAAATGCAAGGCTAACCCCTTACATTTGTTAATTTCTAGAAAAAGTCAAATTTTGCCCAAGTTTGATAAAAATGCAAGGCTAACCCCTTACATTTGTTAATTTCTAGAAAAAGTCAAATTTTGCCCAATTTTGATAAAAATGCAAGGCTAACCCCTTACATTTGTTAATATCCATAAAAAGTCAAATTTTGCCCAATTTGGATAAAAATGCAAGGCTAACCCCTTACATTTGTTAATTTCTAGAAAAAGTCAAATTTTGCCCAATTTTGATAAAAATGCAAGGCTAACCCCTTACATTTGTTAATTTCCATAAAAAGTCACATTTTTCCCAATTTTGATGAAAATGCAAGGCTAACCCCTTACATTTGTTAATTTCTAGAAAAAGCAAAATTTTGCCCAATTTTGATAAAAATGCAAGGCTAACCCCTTACATTTGTTAATTTCCATAAAAAGTCAAATTTGGCCCAAATTTGATAAAAATGCAAGGCTTACCCCTTACATTCGTTAATTTCTAGAAAACGTCAAATTTTGCCAAATTTTGATAAAAATGCAAGGCTAACCCCTTAAATTTGTGAATTTTTAGAAAAGTCGAATTTTGCCCAATTTTGATAAAATGCAAGGCTAATCCCTTACATTTGTTAATTTCTAGAAAAAGTCAAATTTTGCCCAATTTTGATAAAAATGCAAGGCTAACCCCTTACATTTGTTAATTTCCATAAAAAATCACATTTTTCCCAATTTTGATGAAAATGCAAGGCTAACCCCTTACATTTGTTAATTTCTAGAAAAAGCAAAATTTTGCCCAATTTTGATAAAAATGCAAGGCTAACCCCTTACATTTGTTAATTTTCATAAAAAGTCAAATTTTATCTAATTTTGATGAAAATCAAGGCTAACCCCTTACATTTGTGAATTTTTAGAAAAAGTCGAATTTTGCCCAATTTTGATAAAAATGCAAGGCCAACCCCTTACATTCGTTAATATCTAGAAAAAGTCAATTTTTTTCCCAATTTTGATAAAAATGCAAGGCTAACCCCTTACATTTGTTAATTTCCATAAAAAGTCAAATTTTGCCCAATTTTGATAAAAATGCAAGGCTAACCCCTTACATTCATTAATTTCCAGAAAAAAGTCAAATTTTGCCCAAGTTTGATAAAAATGCAAGGCTAACCCCTTACATTTGTTAATTTCTAGAAAAAGTCAAATTTTGCCCAAGTTTGATAAAAATGCAAGGCTAACCCCTTACATTTGTTAATTTCTAGAAAAAGTCAAATTTTGCCCAATTTTGATAAAAATGCAAGGCTAACCCCTTACATTTGTTAATATCCATAAAAAGTCAAATTTTGCCCAATTTGGATAAAAATGCAAGGCTAACCCCTTACATTTGTTAATTTCCATAAAAAGTCAAATTTGGCCCAATTTTGATAAAAATGCAAGGCTAACCCCTTACATT